AATCTCATTTCAACAGGTTAGCCCTTTCGACGAATCGCCCTTCGACAGGTTGCCCTGTACAAATTGGCCCATTCGAGCAATTGTTCTTTGACGAGTTGTTCCTCAACGACTTGGCTGGATCTCCTGGCATCCTGATAGACTTAAGTGGATGCAAAGCTTCTTGCTATCAATCTCTAGTTTAAGAAGGAGCAGAGATGTGTGTGACTGTAGACAGCTTCTGGAGTGCTTCTAAAACTTTTGTGAGTTTTGCAGGCAAGTGCTACCGAATTGATTGCTGGGGTTCACTTAAGTTGTGTTATCATTCCTGCTTCCTAATATCTGAATGCCACAAAAAGTGCAGCTTGAGCAATTTAATTGAGGGTTAGTTCGACGTGAGCGCGTTTGTGAAGTTAAATAAAAACAGAAAGAGTAAACATAGGGACGGACAGAACAGCACCTCTTTCGACTTTCAACTCAAATAGCTTTATTAGGCACCGGCACCAACATTTGGGTCTCTTGGGCTGGGTGCCAGTGCCTAATAAAGCTATTTCTGTTGAACGTCGAAAGAGGTGCTGTTCTGTCCGTCCCTATGCTTACTCTTTCTGTTTTTATTTGATTGAGGGGCACTGCAGATCTCTTCACATATGCCACCGAATGCAAGAAACATGAACCCTAAAGCTCCAAATTGCTGGTGTGCTTGCCGTTCCGTTCTAGCAACCCTGGAAAGGGGCATGTTCTGAAAATGTCACTCACCAGCACCAAGTCCTAAATTGAACAAAACCCAATGAGGTGTTGTACCTAACATATTCTCTAGGCACTGCAGGGATTCCATCACACATTGTTTTTATCAGTTTGGAAATGTATCAATAACAACTCAAGTTGTGGCTCAAAGGTGTATGCAGTGAGGAAACAAATGTTGGCTGAATGGGCTAGCACCGTTTCCCACCATAATGACCTCCCTACATACAAGGTAGACTCCGACGAGTTGCCTTATTTGACCAGTTTACCTGAAAATCCCGAGACATACCGCACGCCCAAGAGGTAACCCACACCTATTTTTGGCTTGATTTGCAATTTTCTTTTAAGCACCGAAATGTAGCTCACCCCTCACTGTTGGGAACAAGTATGACCTCGGCGTAAATGTTTCTAGTTAGGTATTGCTGGATATAAGCGAACATTGCTGGCTGAAGTTCAGTCATCTTTGCTTCATTGCCCCTCGCCGCGATAACAGTTTGACGGAAACCCATTATTTAGAAATTGAACTGTTTTAACCTTTCTTGATTGCACACCGGAGGTTAGCCCACTCCTGATTTTCCGCAAATATCCTCTCAATTTGAGGTGGGATATTTCTCGGGATGTTACGGTACGCAAGACGAGTTGGCTCATGATGAGATTTTGTAGAGCCCCGAACTGCTGTGGTGAAAAAAAACAAGACAATTGACCATGGCTCATGCTTTATATTTATTACCGCTGCCACATATATTTACAGTAATTTTAGCACCAACAATAGCATACAAATATTAAACCACCTCCCATTTGACAACAACTTCCTTGCCGTTGTACAAGTCCAGACCACAGTGTAGGGTGTCGTCCTCCTCAGCCTCCACAAGTTTTCGGTGGCTAGACCTACCCACATTGTAGCAGAACCTGTGTCTGTCAAACCTTTCATTGGTCAATGTCTCAACCAAGATTAGTAGTCTGCCTGAGGCAACATACAGAGCCTCTACTCTCCAAAATTCTGGCCCATCATTCTGTGCAGCTCTGACAAGAATGTCACCACACCTGTAGCTGCGGTGGTCCACTGCTGCATGTGTCACCTGGTGTGCATCCAATGGTAGCACAGCCTGAGCACAGGCCGGCAGGGCACTCTGCTCGACCGGTTTGCCAGACGAGGCCACGAGTTCAGCGGCCAACGACATATCCTTCAGCTGGTGGCTTTGTAGCAGTTGATGTCGTTTCGACAACGTCAGTGTCACATTCCGGAAGTTTTTGATACGCGAGGCAAGGCTCTTGAGGTATTGGTGCTTAGCCTCAAACCGCATGGACCAGAACTGTGGCAGTGGTCCAACTTCACGGATGAACCTTGCATAGTGAACAAGAAAATGCAGCTTGGGAATTATAGCTGCAGTTCCGTATCGCTCTGCGAACGCCACAAGAAAAGCCTGCACAGCCGTTTCCAGGTAGGGAAGGTATTCACTGGGAATGACTGTTGCAAAGCAGATGTCTACGATTTCACGGAACTGAAGGTATAATTCCCAGTCAGCATTCTCTTCTGGCACCAGGTCACCAAGGATTATGCTCATGAGCCTGAGAAGACACCACTTCTCAGTTGCGGTGCCTTTCAGGCTTGCTTTGCGAGTCAAGAAGGACCTGTTAATCGCAACAGGTTTGTTTTTGCTGTCGTTTGCCCCATACTGAAACGAAGTGATGCGGTCCAAATCACTGTACGACAATACATCATCCTCGATGAGCGCATTTAGAACCGGCCGAACCACACACTCAATGCCTCCTTCCAAAATGTCGTGCATGAGGTCTGGGGGAAGTTGTCGCGTCACATCAAAATATGGCGCTTCCAGCATGGGAGAGCGTTCATTCACGCCATACAGTTTCTTGTTGGCCTTGGGGTTGAGAGAGACGGCCTGCAGGTGTCCCTCATGGGCTTGAGCTGTACGTATAGTACAAAAGTCCTCTGTGGTTAGCTCTGGCAGACGTTTAGAAGATGCCATACAGAAGCGGCACACCCTGCCTCGACTAAAGCAGCACGTGAATCCTCCAAGTCGATTCATGGAAAGGTTGTCACCGCAAACACAAAACACGAAGACCTGTGCATTCTGTACTTCTCCTCTGTCAATGAACCTCACTCCACACATTCCTAGTTCGTTGATATCCTCAATTAACGGGCTCAGAACCTTCTCCAGGCCATAGGTCTGGACGTCATCATACTTGGCAAGAAGCACCAAGTGAATAAATCTCAGCTGGGAACTGTGTTTCGCATGGAGGTTTAGCAGGGTAAAATAAACTGCCAGCAGTTTATGCACCCCACGCTTTGCCCCTAATGGGTTGCAAATTTCAACCTCGTCACTGTACAGCAGGATGAAGATGGTGTACTGGGTGCCATCGGGGATGAGGTCCTTGATGCTTTGGAACAGAAGACCATCCGTGTAGTCTCTGTACACCTTATGGTCGTCGCAGCGCGCTTGTCGTGTCATGAGCTGGGCGGCAATGTCGGGCACCTCGCAGAGCTTTTCAAGGACTCTTGGTAGTGGCACATAGTGATATTTGTCACCATGGGAACCGAGTTCACACTTCCTCGGTTCTACATAGGGGGAATGTGCTTTGGCATACTGCTCCCGCAGATGTCTGCTCTGGATTCCTTTGAAGAGGTCCGGCAGGAACGAACATCTGAGCAGCGAGAGCACACCGGGAGACATGGCGGACAGATCAAGCTTGGATGCCATTTCGTTAGCAAACGCCTTCATTATCTGTTCAAAGACGAGTTGCTGATCGCTGAACACCTTTTCTGCTACAGTGTGGGGCAGCTTGCAGTTCTCGGTCACATTAAAAAAAAAGTTCCAGATCGCGCCTCGGGCTTCTCCTAAAAAATCCAGGAACTCCTCGTTGCTTTCCGATGAAGCACCCATTGTGTCCGTGTCTGGAGCTTGTGCGATGTCGGCTTCACTGCCGTCGTCTCGAAAGTTCTGAGCGTCCTCATCTGTCTTTTCGGTGCTTAAGTCGCTTCCAGTCTCACGAAGCACTTGCTTGTGACACCGATAAATATGAGTTCGGTATGACGAGAACAGCTTGTAGCTGCTCGGGCATCCGTCGATTCCACACAAGATTGAGAAGTTGTTTTCAGCACCATGCACAAAGCCAATATGGTTAAGGGCTTTAGTAAATTGGTCGGAAAAGTAAGGACACCTGGGGCAATGCCTTATTGCCATATTTAGAAAGAAAAACAAAAGCACCCCGCAAACACCCGCGCTGCCAAAAAGGTTCTTTCGCGCTGCGGAGGGCTGTTCAGCTCAGCTCGGCTCGGTTTCGGTTTTGGCTTGTCAGCCTTTGGATTATATCGGTGATGTGGTGCACTGATGTGCGAGTCTCTTGGTGTTTATACACGTAAATACAGTAAATACACGTTATTTTGTCAACACATGGTAATAAAAAAAATATTGGAAACTGTGAATTTCTATAACCAGCAAAGATGATAAAAAAAAACATTATCTGCAACAAGTAACAATCCCGGCTAATCCAAACCTGAAAACCTACCCCTTTCTTTCCCCTTCCCCCCCCCTCACACACACACACACACACACTTTTTTTTTTCGTAATTTTTACGCACGCTGTTGCTGGTGGAAAGGAGACTAAAGGCGCCAATGCCTCGTATTCCCATTGCGTGACTGACTCGGCTGATTCTGCCCCACTCCCGGAGTGATCACGTGCCTCCGCCGTGCCCCTTCCGCCCTTGCCTTCTGCTGTGTCCGTGACTGACTCGGCTGACCCTGCCCCACTCCCGGAGTGATCACGTGCCTCCGCCGTGCTCCCGCGCTGGACCCCTGTTACGCCTGCGCCCGCCCGTGTGTGCCCGTGAACCCTGTGTCGCGACTCGCCTGTGTCTTCGGCCCTCCACGGGCGCTTTCCGCCCGCACCTCTGAGACCACTCCTGGACCTCTACCTAATCTCACTTCTTTCTACTGATCTTTCACTCCCACCCCTCTCACCCAAAGATAGTTAGCACGACTCCCATCAGTGAGTCTACCGGTCTACAGAACTATCTCTTTCTTTCCAAACACCTTCTCTCGCCCTCTCTCTGTAATACTGGTCTACGGGTCTACTGCCTACTCATGCGCGCGTTGTGCGAGCCAGAGTCGGGAGAGAGTGGTTCCCGCGTATCGGACCCGCTGGTGGAAAGGATGGAAAGACTGGCGTTTAGCATTCTGTGCCCCTGTCCGCGTCAAATACTTGTGTGCATTGTGGGAGCCAGAATCCGGGAGAGAGATGAAGTTCCCTTTGCACGGATTGCGGATGTCGGATTGCGGAGTCACAGAGTTTGTCACTTTCGTCGTGATTGGCATGTTGAAGACTTCGCGCAATGGACGTAATCGAGTGCTTGGTGGTCTACGGCGCACACAAGGTGGTGGTTAATGTGGGAGGAGAGCGGAAGCGACCCGATCTAATTAGTAGCCTTGCGCAAAAAGAACTCTTTCAGGTATTCGATCTTAACACAAGCCACCTTCTGGTAAACACATGGATCTTCCTTTTTTGTGCGATCAGTGTTGTGTGTGTTGTACAATTATGCTTTTCGATTTTTTTTTATTTTGGCTGTGTCTACAGTGCCGTCCGACGGCACTCCACTCGCGCCAAGAAGTGCCTTTCGAAAGAAAGTCGGACGGCGCGTGTATCACTGGGAAGCCCGTTAACCCACCTGCGTTCACGACGCTTCGCGGCGACAGTATGCGGCCGCTAATTACAAAACTTATTAACCCACTTGGCCCCGCTTCGCGGCGTCCAGCCGGCAAACCAAGTCCCGCTGTCCCCCATGGACCTGCGGAAAGGGAGTCTCATACCATTTTGTTTAGCGAAATTTTGTCGACAGCATTTTTTTATTTATTGTGTTAATTGTAAAAATTAAATGTAAATATCGCCAAATGCCTAAACAAAACAAAATGTTCCAAGAAAAAAATAAATAAAGTAAGCCCACAGTGGGAATCGAACCCCGGTCCACTGCGTATGAGGCAGACATCTTCCCACTAAGCTACGCCACAGCTTGGATGAACTCGTTTTTACAATCACAGTGTCTAGCTTTACGTCTGACGGAACCCAAAATAAAAATTAAAGTTACATCCGACGGTACCCAAAATGAAAATTAAATTTATGTCTGACGGAACTTGACATAAAATTTGTTACGTCCTATGTAACCTACGCAACCTAGGTTTCGCTTTACATATGATACCATGATATAAATACAAAAGAAATATGAATTATTACTGCATTACATCCAATGCAGCATTCGTAAATTGGATAAAATCTACCTCTATTCGTACCTCCAGATTTGTTGAGGGGGCTGGGGCACTGGTCTCAATGACAATTGCTGGATTGCGCTTCCCGCTCCTGCAAGTGAGGTTACCGGACGGCTATCCTGCCGGGAGACGATTTGCGGTTTTGGTAGCGTTCCGCTGTGGTTTTCCAGCATGCTGTAGACACGTTTTCTACTCGTTCGTCGTTGTTCGCCAAAGAAGTTTTTAAGACCCTGTGTACCGTTGAGACTTGCCATTGTGAACACGTGGAAACTTTTACGGAAGCGCAGTGCAGCAGGAAAAAGCCACAACTCGTCGAAAGCAAGTGTCATTGGTCTCCTTTTTTGCACAAGTAAATTGAGCAAAGCTTCCTTGGTACGCCGAGTGCTGCATCTTTGTGCGTTTTCACGCTTGGATACCGATCAAGAATCGACACCGCACCGAAGTTCTGAAGGTGTGTCGCTCGTAGGTGCCTTTAAATCAGTGGTTCTCAACCATTGATGTTTCGCGGACCCCTTGTGGATCGGCGGAGATGATGGAGGACCCCGTTCGGGGTGAGGGGAGGGGGAAGGTATAGGGTAACTATAATAATAATTGAATAAATATTGTCACGGGTGGTGACTAATAAACAAGAAATGAACAGGAATAAATAAACGTTTAATGTGGCGAACTTGTGCCAAAAATAAAAGGGGTACAAAAGAAAGATAACAACAGAGCGTCGCGGGCGTCGAAGGCGGCGAAGCAGCACGATCAAACGCTGAGGCGAGACTGACTCGACAAGGTCGCGGGCGGCCTCTTATCTAGAGTGCGTCGCTATCTCGAAGATTCGGCGAAAGCGGCTCGAGCGTCGCGTGATCGGGCGAGAATGAACACGCACTTTCTAGAAAACAAAAGCAGGAATAAATGATAGAAGTTACGAGCGGTACATGAATAAACGAGAACTTTCTGGAGGTCCGTGACCGAGCGTTGCTTTCTCAGCCCTGGGCGCGGCATTATCCCCCCCTTTAAAAGTGCATCGTCCCGATGCAGCACAAAAACGGAAGACAAAAAACAAAAGGACAGCAGAATTGCTAGCAGGAGTTCACAGTCCACAGTTCACTCGTCGACGAGAGTGGAGAGTCCTATCGTTCGTAATACGGCTTCAGCCGGACGACATGCACCACCTCGGGTCGCGGCTGACGTCTTGCAGATGGGCGCGTTCCGTCGGGTAGAACTTCGTAGTTCAGATCGCCGAGGCGTCGGATGATCTTGTAGGGCCCAAAGTAGCGCTTCAGGAGTTTTTCGCTGAGACCGCGACGACGAATCGGCGTCCACACCCATACCCTGTCTCCGGGCTGGAACTCCACGTCGCGGCGGCGAAGATTGTACCGGCCAGCGTCCACACGTTGCTGGTCCTTTATTCGAAGACGGGCTAGTTGGCGTACTTCTTCTGCTCGTTGGGTGACCAGCTGGGCGTCGTCAGTGCCGTCGTCCGTCGGATTGTGGGGCAGCATGGCGTCGAGCATCGTCGTCACCTTTCTGCCGTGCACCAGCTGAAAGGGTGTAATGCCAGTAGTTTCTTGAATCGCCGTGTTGTACGCACAATCCGACGGACGACCTTCCAGCGCGTTATGGACACCGTCCTTGCCGGCTTGAAATGGCAAAGCTGTCTCGTCTACCTCGACGATGTTGTGGTCTTCGCAAGCGAATTCGACGAGCACCTGAGACGACTGCGAGCCGTTCTACAGGCCTTCAAAGCTGCTGGGCTGACCCTCAAGCCTTCCAAGTGTCGGTTCGCCTATGGTGAGCTCAAATTCTTGGGCCACGTCGTGAGGGCTCAGGGTGTAAGCCCTGATTCCGCCAAGACGTCCGCTGTCGCCGAGTTCCCGAAGCCATCGGACAAGAAGACCGTTCGAAGATTCCTTGGGCTGTGCGCCTATTACAGACGTTTCGTTCGTGATTTTGCGCAAATTTCTGCACCGCTGACGCATCTGACGAAAGACGACGTGCAGTTCCAGTGGGGAGAGGAGCAAGAGCAAGCGTTCGACGAACTCAAGCGGAGGCTCCAGTCGCCCCCTATCCTCGGACATTTTGACCAGTCGGCGGAGACTGAAATCCACACGGACGCCAGCAATACCGGTCTCGGTGCGGTACTCGTTCAGCGACAAGAAGGGGCAGAGAGAGTAATCGCTTACGCAAGCCGGGCGCTGTCTAAGGCAGAACAAAATTATTCAACGACCGACAAAGAATTTCTTGCTGTCGTCTGGGCGATAACCAAGTTCCGCCCGTACTTGTACGGGATTCCGTTCCGCGTGGTCACCGACCACCACGCCCTCTGCTGGCTCGCAAACCTCAAGGATCCGTCCGGACGCCTCGCCCGCTGGAGCCTTCGACTGCAGGAATTCGACGTAACCATTGTGCATAAGTCCGGCCGCAAGCATAATGACGCTGACTGTTTGTCTAGGGCTCCAGTCGAACCTCCAATCTCCGGCGCGGACGACGATGACGACGCCCGTTTTGGCGCAGTTGACGCTACCGACATGAGGGCACTGCAACGCGACGACGCGGAACTTAGCTCCGTGATCGACAGCCTCGAAGGTCGAGCAGGCTCTGTCCCACGGGTCTTTTCTCGGGACCTACCGAGCTTTGTCCTGCGGCGAGGCGTGCTCTTCAGAAAGAATTTCGGAACCAGCGAAACCCCCTGGCTACTGGTTGTCCCCGCCAGCCTCCGAGAAGAAATTTTTCAAGCGTGCCACGACGACCCAACGGCCGGACATCTCGGCTACAGCAGGACCCTTGCCCGGATTCGTGACAAGTACTACTGGCCAAAGCTTCCGAAGACCGTCCATCTCTACACACGATCGTGCCATGAGTGCCAGCGACGCAAGAAACCACCGTCAAAGCCAGCAGGTCTCCTTCAGCCGATTACCCCGCACCTCCACCAAAATGTCACGGGTGGTGACTAATAAACAAGAAATGAACAGGAATAAATAAACGTTTAATGTGGCGAACTTGTGCCAAAAATAAAAGGGGTACAAAAGAAAGATAACAACAGAGCGTTGCGGGCGTCGAAGGCGGCGAAGCAGCACGATCAAACGCTGAGGCGAGACTGACTCGACAAGGTCGCGGGCGGCCTCTTATCTAGAGTGCGTCGCTATCTCGAAGATTCGGCGAAAGCGGCTCGAGCGTCGCGTGATCGGGCGAGAATGAACACGCACTTTCTAGAAAACAAAAGCAGGAATAAATGATAGAAGTTACGAGCGGTACATGAATAAACGAGAACTTTCTGGAGGTCCGTGACCGAGCGTTGCTTTCTCAGCCCTGGGCGCGGCAATATATTTCAGTAAGGGCTTGTGTAAAGTAGACCTTTCTTATTGGCATGCACACGAGGAAACTCGCCCAAAAACTGAAACATTTCTTCTCGACCTGGAAAAAAAACTTTTATTGCCGGGCTTGAGTGATGAATGCAAACCCCTAGAATGCCTTCGAGGGTCCGCGAAGGGGGGTCAAATGGGGGTTTGCGGACCCTAAAGGGTCCGTGAGCCCCCATTTGAGAACTACTGCTTTAGATCATATATATATCAGCCATGGAGTTCTGGATCGTCCAGCTGCTTCCAGGAGTTACTATCAATAAAGGGGGGGGGGGGGGGGGGTTGGGTTTGCAATTGCTCCTATGTACTATTAACCATGGCTGTGTTCCAAATCTGCTCTAATGGATTACGTGGGAGCATGAATAGGGCAACGTTGTGGAGCAAGGAGGATTTTCGAAGGCAAAAGTACAAGACGGCGAGAATGAAAATCTTTCAAGTGCGGCCGATATGGTCGTGTGCAATCTGTTGACCAATTACAATTAGGCGAGCCATGCTCAAACGTCAAGTGCAATTAAGTAGGTTGATAATGAGCCAGCACTGATCAGTAATGAGGAGCTGTTGTGCACGGTATTGTGTAAATCGTCTAAGGACGAAAAAAAAAGACGTACCTGGCCCCCCTCTTCTATCGCCAGTGGATGCTGGATTAATCTCGTTTCTGGACCACAAGGGCCGCAAGTATACAGTCGTCAGAGTAAAGTGAGACACTGATTCAGAGGCACATACGGCTTCACGCACATTGCACTTGCAAAACACATTCACATGACGTCGGTTCTTGGTCAGTATCCAAGCGTGCGAAGACACAGAGGCAGCACTTCGGCGTGCCAAGGGAGCTTTAATCCTGCCGCGAGACCGGCAAAACTTGCTTTCGACGAGTTGTGCCTTTTTCCTGCGACACTGCGCTTTCGTAAAATTTTCCACGTGTTCACAACGGCGAGTCTCCACGGTACGCAGAGTCTTAAAAGCTTCTTCGGCGAATGACGACGAACGAGTAGAAAACGTGTCTATAGCATGTTGGCAAACCGCAGCAAAAGTCTAGCAAAACCGCAAATCCTATCCGAGCAAGATGGCCGTCCGGTGGCTTCACTTGCGCTGCAGCGAACAAGCAGGGAGGGCGCGATCCACCAATTATCAGTGAGATCAGGGAAATGACGAGCACCGACTACATTTTTCCCTCAGAGCCTGACTGCCAGCGACTCACGCTCTCTCCAGGCGTGACAAAATTCACGCATGTGCATTAATGTACCCCCCACCTTTCCCCTACAGGACATTGTCAGCGCTTAATTTTGTTCTACGGAATAAATTCAGGTCGGACTCTTTTTGAACGCCCCTCGTGTAATGCTGATTACCTCATCTGGGGAATCTTTAAACTCGGGCAGCATTGAGCTACACTTTCAATCACACAAAGGTGGCTGCAATTCTCAAGCAAATGGCCGACGAACATATTGGCAATGTTTCCAGTGGCCTAATAATTTGTAGGCAATATCCACTTTTATTCAGTTATGCTTCAGTAGCATAGTTGTTACTTTATTTTGTTTTAATTAGGACAGAACAATTTAGTAGACTTTCACAAAGCTTAAAGGGGCGGTGCAACGATTTTCGGACTTCGGTCAAAGATTTCTGGAAGTTGCCCCCTGACACTTCTGAAGTAAAGAACAGAAAACCGATTTCGCCTGCGTGTCCTAATTGTTGCGTAAAAAAAAGATAAAGATTGGTATTTCGGGCTCCCCTCAACTCACTCCCAGTCTTCAGGGTCACACCTGGTCGCACTCCCAGTGACGTCATTCGGAGTGCCGTGTAGCTTCCCGTGTGCTATCTCGGAGGACGCTTCCTCTCCCCCTCTCCGCTGACATTAGCGGGCGTTATGCTGCAGCTTAGAGCCGAGCGAGGTCACGTAATCTTTCCGCCGTAGTTCCTTCGGCTGCCACTTGGGGCTGCAGGTGGGGGAAAAAGCTCGACTTTTGTTTTGCGATTATGCAGCGGAATCGCGACATTTTTAATGAAGGAGGTGTTTTCTCTAATCTCCGGGACACGATAAACAACGTAAAAATGACGAGATGCAAATTCTTTTAATCATAAAATCGTTGCACCGCCCCTTTAAGCACCATTAACCGTTGTGCTTTCAACCTTGTAGGTTTGGCAGGTTTTAAAGTGCAGGGAAGAGATAAATTGGAATAGAATTCGAAAACAATTTGCAGTCTGGAAGATTGAAGGTAGAATATATGGTGCTTACGAGGAAGATGAACTAAGCTGATTAGGGGGAACAGGAGGGCAGCTGTTATTGTCTGCTTTGGACACTTATGATTAGGAGGCTGCAACAAAAATGTGGCATCTGTAGCAGTGTTGCGGAATGGGCACCCCCCATTCCATTCCAATTCCATTCCGGGAATTAGAGTTTTCGATAATTCAATTCCTTTCAACGCCTAGGATTGAGGACACTGGGCCCATTCCCACTCCTGGAATGGCTGAATCGTCCCATTCCATTCCTCTAATTCCTAAACGTAAAAATTGGCATTTGATAGCTACATTGTCTAATGTTTCCGGCATAAGCAGCATAAAGCTGACATTGTCAAATGCATAGACAATTGCAAAAAAAAAATGCTAAATGCCTCAAAAAAGCTCTGATCTTACTAAGCTCACTGTGCTGGACTGCCTGGGGTGACTCAAAGCGTCCGCAGCGGTCCATCGCAAGGTGAAACAAGGTACGCAGAAGCTCAAGTCAAAGGAAATGAGCGGCAATCCGCTAGCTTGTTTGTAACCTAAACCCACTTGAATGAAAAACATATAACAAAGAAAATAGGCAACGGAACAAGGACCAAGTAAAAGGCGGACTTACACGTAAAATTGCAGTATATATATATAAAAAAGAAACAAGCGTTGGAGCAAAGCGCGAGAGGAGAAGTGAAAAGTGAATTCGGCAAACCCAGATTTCGCACTTCAAAGGAAAGCAGCAGGGTTGGCCACCTGCTAAACAACGCTCCTCGAACTACAAGAAAACAATACCTGATCATCTTTCTGCGGCGGCGTGCGAGTCAACGAGTTATGAGTCGCCCCCAGGTCTCAGTCTGTGCGCGCGCGTCCATTCTCCGAGTCTATGCCGTCGCAAAAAAAGAAAAAGTAATACAAGAAGCACGATGAGGAGCCGTGCATGGCGGCTTCTCTCTTTGCCGGTTCCTTCGTTTCTTTTGCTTGGCGCTTGATTTCTTGTTTCGCTCTCGTGTAACACCCGTAAAGCCCGTCGTCTGTGCTTCCGTGAAAGGCGCCACCGCCACCCCCTCCCCCTTTGGTCTTTGCTCTGATGCGTGTTTTTTGTATTGCTAGCAGTTTCCCGCGCATTTTTCTTTTCTGAGCAACTGACTCGCTGACTGGCTCCGTTTAGCTGAACGTAGCCCCCCCACCCTCTTCCCTAAAAAAAAAATAAAGAAAGAACCGGGCCCATTCCATTCCCATTCCATTCCGGGCAAATGACATCTAATTCCATTCCCATTCCATCCACCTCATCGTTACCGCCATTCCATTCCCCACTCCATTCCGGGGTCGCGAAAATGCGGAATGATTCCGGAATCACTCCAACTCCGGAGTCGCAATTCCGCAACACTGATCTGTAGAGTAGAGATGAAGAGTTCCATGGGCCCACTTGTGCAAATGGAATATAACTTATTTACCATCATGCTAATTAGCTGCTGGTTATTTATTTGTTTTTAAGATTTACCATGCTGGCTTTGACACTGATGTCGACATGACCGAAGATGTTGTTCTGGAGAACAGAGCACGGATCAAGATCAGGATGGACGAGGCACAGTTCAGGTGGGTGAAAATGCTCACCAAGACTGAAGCGATGAGGTCTAGTTTGCTCAAGCCATGATGCTCATGGTAGGGCTAGTTTTAAAAGAGCTTGCCAAAGAGAGGCATATTTGACCCCTGAAAAGCAGTGGAAGGTGGGATTATGAAGGAAACATTATCACATGTTTTCATATGCTCTGCACAGCACGTGCACATTCTGAAGCTGTCGGGGTTTTCAATGGTTGTGTGAGACATCTCCAAGCGGGTTGATAGACTTCTGCTACAAATTATACTTGTTAGAATTTTCAGGCCATCAGACATAATTATTTCAGATGAGATTTAATCCTTTATGCTAAAATGTTTGAGTGGAGGCTTTCAGGGGCATTTTTATGAGCTGGATTGGTGCATATACCAATTCTGCTCGGGGACAACTCAAGAACGCATGGCAAGGGGACAAAGAAAGAGCACAATGAAGGCCAAAGGGGAGAGGAGGTTTCTCCTCTGCCTTCAGCTTTCCGTGTGCTTTCTCTTTCTTCCCTCGTCCTGCATTCTTAGTTGTCCCCGAGTATAGGTATCTATTTTGACAATATGGCTTATATGTTCATCATTGTGGCATATCTAGGGTCATGGATGTCGTCAATCAGGAAGAACATGGTCCATCGAGAGCTCCGCTGAGGGACCTGTCGGAGTACAGGTTCCCCCAAGTTCCGCTGGACATCAAGCAATCATTGGCAAAGCACAAGAAGGGACTCAACCTGAAATCCAGGAATTGCATAATTCAGTGGTTGTACCACGATTTATGCCAGTACAATCTGTAAGTTAATTTTGAGCTGAATTGACTTTCTTTCTATAAGAGCCCCCAAAACTAACTAGAGAGAATTCTACTGGTCGTTTTGGTGCGCGCCGAGATTTCCTTGTCTTGACAGTGCCTGTTACACTGGGTGATGGGAGGGGTAGTGGTCCTGAATAAATTGTGTGCGCCGTCGGGTTTGTTCCAAGGGCACCAGTAGTGCCAATGTCTGGCACTTTTTTTCCGTGAATGATAACTGATGTTCCTCAGCAATTTCGTCTGCTCTTTTTCCTACAGGTATCCAGACAAGCTGTATGCAGAGGCTGCCAAGGGGCTTATTAGAAATTTCCCCGTCCTGGAGGACACCACAGGAACCAAATGCGTGAGTGAATAAATATTGTAATGGGTTGCTTGCTGGGCTGGTTGGTTGAATGACATAGTGAAAAACAGTGCAAACAAAATACTAGACACTAAGTAGAAGATGGACACAGGACATACACTGACTAGCAATTGAAGGTTTACTGGAACTTTCACGCGAGCACAGCGGCCCGTGCAAGTACATGCTCTAATTCTTTTTTCGACAGAGGTAAATGTGAATAAAGAAAGAAGAAAATTTGAAAAAAGAATGTGAGAAGAGAAGAAAAATCTACAGCGGCACAAGAAAACCTTAGGCCCAAATGATGCATTTGCACCACAGTTAGGACCATATTGGGACGTTGTGAAACACACCGATATGGTCCTAAAATTAATAGAAAAAGACTTGTAGAACTTTTTTTTTTTTTTACAATGGCACGGAACCCAATAAGCTCATGGACTGTGTTCACACCGCCTTCAGGACGCATTTTTTACCTTTACGGATTGCGTGTGACACTATACTAAGGACGTTCACAATTGAAAAATTGTAGTTCCCTGTTTGTCAGTTGCACTGACGCGACACTGATACAGTGATCGTGTTCTGGTCTACAGGCAAGCATTCGTGCCGCTTCCATGATGTCTCTCTCCAGCTTGCCCCTCTTGCATCCCACCACCCGGGTGTTGTCCAACGCAGGGGAACGCCCATACTCCCTCCCGTGTATAGGTATATGTGAACTGTGGCCACTGCCAAGCGAGGCCGCTTGCACGTGCAGTCACTCGTTCAAACAATGACCGGTCTTTCCAAAGTAGACCCTACCACAGCTCAAAGGAATCTCGTAGACGACCTCCTTGACACAAGGCACAAACTGCTTGGCATGCCTTGTATCAGAAGAACCATTCTTAGGTTTGGTCCTGCTTGACATCACGCACAGTGGACAGCTTGCAGGAGGCCGTGAAGGCAACGTTGACGTTGAATTTCGCTCTTACGTGCTTCAGATTATGCAAGATTCTGTGAACATAGGGCAGCACTTCAAACTTGTTTAGCCTTTTAATAGTTGCTGTGTCGGGATTTTTCATCATCTTAAGCAGGGATTCAGCCAATCCTCTCACCAGGAAGGAAGGAAAACCCGAAAGTTCCAGGCAAAGTAGCTGACGGTCGAAGCTCTCACGTGCAGCGTGGGCACAGGACTTTTGTAAAGCCGAGCGAAGGCATAGGTTGGCGATACCCAATTTTACTAATTTAGAGTGCCCCGAGTTAAAAAGTTAAAATGGTCTTTTTGGTTTGCGGCGAGCACATCCAACAGATGTGATCAGAACCATTGAAGAACAAACGTAAATCCAAGAACTGCAAGAAACAGTCCACCGGCAACTCTAGCGCGAGACGTAAGTGGCTCGAGCACCGTGCAAAAACTTGTCAAACAGACTGAGTGAATGAGTCCAGGCGAGTTGTAGAGGGTATGCTAACGAATACGACCAAGTCATCCACATGTGTGCAGATCTTAACAACAGGGACGTTGGTTCCGGTTATTAAGTTCGACCGCATTGTTTCACATGCTTTGACCGATGTCCCTGTTGTTAAGATCTGTAGATATGTGGATGACTTGGTCGAATTCGTTAGCATACCCTCGACAACTCGCCTGGACTCAGTCGCTCGGTCTGTTTGACAAGTTTTTGAACGGTGCTCGAGCCACTTACGTTTGACGCTGGAGTTGCTGGCGGATTGTTTCTTGCAGTTCTTGGGCTTACGTTTGTCCTTCAATGGTTCCGATCACATCTGTTAGATGTGCTTGCCGCGAACCAAAAAGACGATTTTAACCTTTTGACTCTGGGCACTCTAAATAAGAAAAATAGGGTATCGCCAACCTATGCCTCTGCTCGGCTTTACAGAAGTCCTGTGCCCACGCCGTACGTGAGAACTTCGACCGTCAGCTACTTTGCCTGGAACTTTAGGGTTTTTCTTCCTTTCTGGTGAGAGGAGTGACTGAATCCCCGCTTAAGTAGATGAAAAATCCCGACATGGCAACTAGGAAAAGGCTAAACAAGTTTGAGGTGCTGCCCTATGTTCACAGAATCTCGCATAATCTGAAGCATGTAAGAGCGAAATTCAACATCGACGTTGTCTTCACGGCCCCCTGCAAGCTGTCCAAACTGTGCGTGATGTCAAGCGGGACCAAACCTAGGAATGGTTCTTCTGATACAAGGCATGCCAAGCAGTTTGAGCCTTGTATCAAGGGGGTCGTCTACGAGATTCCGCTGAGCTGTGGTAGGGTCTACTTGGGAAAGACTGGTCGTTGTTTGAACGAGTGACTGCACGTGCACGCAGCTCGCTCGGCAGTGGCCATGTTTCACATTTACCTATATACTGGAGGGAGTATGGGCGTGTTCCCCTGCGTTGGACAACACCCGGGTGGTGGGATGCAAGAGGAGCAAGCTGGAGAGAGAGATCAAGGAAGCGGCACATATACTTGCCTGTAGACCAGATCACGATCACTGCATCAGTGTCGCGTCAGTGCATCTGACAAACAGGGAACTACAATTGCTCAGTTGTGAAGGTCTTTGCTATAGTGTCCTGAACGCGGTGTGAACACAGCCCATGAGCTTATTGTGTTCTCGTGCCATTGTAAAAAAAATAAAAAATTGTACAATTTTTTTTGTTGCACGTTTCACAACCTCCCGATATGGTTAGAATCGTGGTGCGATCGCATGATTCAGGCCAAAAATTTTCTTGTTCCGCTGTAGATTTTTATTGTCTTCTCACACTATTTTTCCAATTTTTTTTTGTTTGCTTTTTTGGGTTGAAAGAAAAAGAAGAGCATGTACTTGCGCGTGTCACTGTGCTCGCGTGGAAGTTCCAGTAAACCTTCGGTTGTTAGTCAGCGTATGCCCTGTGTCTGTCTTCTACTTTGTGTCCCGCCTTTTTTATGCTGTTTTTCACTATGTTGAATGAATACTATTTTATTTGAATGTATTAGCTTTTTCACGACTCCATTGAACTTTACACATCTCCAGCTCACTGCTCGCCCTCTTGCAGCGGAAACAGGAAGCATTCTAGCAAGTGTCCTCCGGTTGCTCCGCCCGCAACCAAGGCGTATTTGTTTGGGACCTTGTCTTGCACCGAACCATTTCTGAATGTAAATGGCATTATTGGTTGCTGTATTCCAAGGTGAACGAAACGTGCCTAGTGACTGGAATGCAAAAGGATATGCATTCTTCAAATATGAAGGGCTCTGGCCAATAGAACAAATACTGCTTACATGGAATTTTTCAATCTTTTTATCCTCTTTCGACCTAAATGCGAGAGAAAGTGCCATACTTATATTCATTAAGTTCATCAACAAGCGGAAAAAAAAACAAGCCATGCAGCAGTGAGTGTGGTGACAAAATGTTTTTTTTACGTGTCCATTGTTTTTAGCGCTTTTCCCCTCGGAAATATGGATCACCAACTTGCCCAAGTGCATACCCTTCGACAAAACAACTCTTGGGCTCCAAAACTATCTCTATTGTTGTCATCCCTCTTTTCAGTTGAATCAAGTGGTGTGCGGAACATGTGTAGGTTTGAAAGAAACAGTCCTGAAAATAAATTGCGGAATTTCTCACATTTGAAAATTGCAAGGTATAGATTTATTATCAATGTCTTGATATTCATAATACCAAGGTATTGATAAGGATAGTCCCAATTTCCTGGAGATTGATAGCAGTCCAGAGAATAAAAATTATTTTAAATTATAGTAATAGGTGGAGTTTTTCATAAGTTCTGTACCTCCATCTATTACATTGCAGGATGTGGTGCTCCCAGCCGATGGAGAGGACACAGAAATCTTTTGAGTTCGTCGTACAGTAGCAAAATCGTTCGCGGTTTGTGGTGATACAATTTAACTTTCACCAAACGTTCACTTGTGCGAGGCAGTTTTCAAAAATATCCATCTAAACTTGTTGTCTTCATATATTGTTCACACAATCTGTAATCACCAGTCTGACATTTTTAATTCCAGGAGATTATTTCAACACAATGTTAAGGATGAACCACCTCCACAATTGTTTTTCTTTTGTTTAATAGGGAGTTGTTTATCAATAGCATGACGTACGCAGCGAATCCAAAACTACAGTGAAGCCCGTTTAGAACGAACCCACGTACAGCGAGTTATTGTCAATATCTAGCTCACGAAAAATTTAAATAAAAATGCACGTAAAAAGTACTTCTTATAACAAACAACAGATTGGCTATATATAGGGTTTCGCGTTTTCTGTTTCTATTTTTTTCAAAATTCGGCATACTTTTTTTAGTGTTTATTTTAAAATTGAATTTTCGTTTTTTTTCGGCGTATACCTATGCCCAAAAAGTTTATCGTTTCTTTTCGGCAAGTATAAAATAAACACCAACGGACACCGGATCAGATGATCCTTGTACGTAGCTCTGATATTTGTGATCACTCAAAGAATAACGGCACAGATACATTGAAAGAGAAATGGACCCTTTATTTGGCAAATGTGTGCAACTGTGAAAGAAACAAGGAAAAAAAACAACACAGAAGTACAAACAAGTCAGATATGAAGCCTATGCCCAAAAAACATGAAACTTCCTTCACCTTCTGTACATCAGGATTATGTGATCTTATTATAGTACACGCACATGTACTTTCCCAGGTCCTCCTCCTTGATCTGCACTCTTTCTTTCCTGGTAATATGACCCTGAGCTTCGAGAATGCACTCTCAACGCTGACACTGGCAGGCTGAGGAGATGAACCGCTGCCTGAGCCGAAATTGGACAATGAACCGATTGTGACCTTCAAAAGAGACACGGTGCGACGTTTTGAGGCACAACACAACATGCAGAGCTAGCATCAAGTCAGTCTACCTTACAACGAGTTTGGAAACACGTTCGTGCATGGCGAAGTCATGGGGTATTTCGGAATTCATGTTCCAATCGATGATGCGCACATTAAACCAAAACATTGTGATGACATTCGTGTATCCCATACATCTGGGGCCGCTTGCTAGAAACTCTTGACTCAAGTCTTGGCTCAAGTCTTGACTCAGGCGCCTGGCGGTCTCGGCTGAGACCGTGACTGAGACCAAGACGGATCCAGCACGGTCTCCGGCGCGGTCTTGACTCAAGTCCGGACTTGAGTCTGGCACCCAGACCGCCAAGAACGGAGTGAGCAGTACCTAGAGAGGGAATCTAGGGAAAACTGAAGAAATACCGGAGAAAACAGAGGGTGCGTTCCAAATCTACTCGAGTGGATCCGAGTTACCCTGGCAGATCATGTCACGTGACAACAAAAATCGAGTAATGCCGGACGCGGGTAGGTTTTCGATCGCAAAGGTACAAAACCTTTACCCTAGAGTGAGACCGAGTAAATTTTGGAACACGGCCGAAGATTCCGGACGTGGAAGTGACGAGTTGTGACCTCCTGTCCAATAAGAAAGCGCCGGCGACGCGAGGCGGCAAGCGAGAGATCGTCTGCTTCTGCTACGCTGCGATCGGTTTGGGCAAAGAGAAATGACGACAGTCGCAAAACTGCGGCACATGTCTCGTACATACCGTGGTTCCGTGCAAAATAGAAGAAAGAAAAAAAAAAAAAGAGTCAGCGATGCGCGGTTTTGGGTAGAGTTTAGTGCGCACCAACGCTGTCATATTGCTTCGTATCGCGATCGTCTGTCACCACCGTCGTCGACGTCCAGTGCGTACGCCGAATAAAGTTGTCTACATAAATGCCTGCGTGTCCTTAACGCCCAATTTTTTAAGAAAAAAAAAATGCGCTGGACGTACTTTCTCGGAAGCATTTGCAATAAAAGTTGATAATTAGGTTTCGATCATTAAGTTAGCAGACGACCGTCTGAGTTTGCTGCACGCAGACATGGATGTTGCCGGTCCATCACGGATGCCTCCCAAGGTAAAGAAATCAAATTGGTCCGAAGATAAGTTTCAATTGGTTTACGAAATCGAGAAACGAAAACGTATAATTAAGAACAAATTTAACAACAATATTACAAAAGCTGCTAAAAGAAAAGCGTGGCAGGAGATCGCATCCGTGATGAATTCGCGGCATCCATCGGCGCTGCGCACTGTGCCGCAACTCAAAAAGCAGTGGCAAAACCTCAAATCTCGCAGCCGCGCGGAACTGACCCTCTCGAAGAAAGCACACTCCACGACCGGTGAGTTTACTATACATATGTTTTTACTACACATAAAAATGAAGCACACATTCTGTGTGCTAAAGAAGTTTTTTATCCACTTTCTCATTTTCTTGGCTAAATTATAGAAGAAATTAAGATATGAAGCTATTAATACAATCAAATCAAAACAATGAATGTGCTTGCTGCAATCAGATAAAATTTAATGCTCAAACAAAATATAGAGAGAACCTTGTCTTCCACAGGCGCAGGGCGCAACGACCATACGCTGACACCGCTGGCTGAGGCTGTGCTGGCGGTCATCGGTTCCACAAGCCCCAACCTTCTGGGTATCGAAGGAGGCGTAGACACCGACGAGTGAGCTGTCATGTTACTGCTATTTGTACGAAGTCTAGCCTTTCGAGATTCACACGATTGGAGGTTCTACTAGCAAAGCTAATATTGTATTCATAATCATATCTGAAGTTCGCAAGTACTAAATACTGGGCCACTCAAAGAAATGTTCTGGTGTGTTCTCTCCAGAGCAAGAAAGAACCGTGCACATCCAAGAACTCTAAAACTTTGAGCCATGTTACCTGAAGTTAAAGTCGAGCTAGGCATGTCAATGAAAGACCACTGCGCTGATCAATGATGATCATAAAAATAATATAAACAACAATAATAATAATAGTAATTATTGGATTAGGAGAGCCACGGCACTGCAGAAAGGCTGCAGCCCGTGCAAGGTACGCCCGCAATGCCACATCTTGTGATGGTGATTATGTTATGATGTAAGATCACGACCTAATCTTGTGAGATGCAAGATTAAAATGATGGTGATTATGAGCCGACATGTACATGGGGAGGACGACGCAGTCTTCTGAACATTGCAAGCGTCGTTGGCCGAGTCTTGAAAGTTTGGGAAAGAAAAATGACAGCAGACTTAGGCTGGTACACTGCTGAAATGGTAGAAGGTATATCTTAAAAAGGTATCATGCAATGCGAACAAGACAAAGGGGATTGTGTTTCTACTACACTACCATTACAAAATACATTATACTCTCATGATTTCAAACTGCAGGAAGCCATGAATTTCGCTTGATTTATCAGAAATTTATCTAAATAATGATGCAAGATAAAAATATGATTTGCCTTATGAGTGGCTTCACATACACAGAAGATATTTCATGCTTTCCTTTACATAGGCCTACTGATCATAACCAGGTATGCTACACATGAAACATTCGTGAAATGTAAGACAAAAGTTTATTTATCCCTCAAAAATGTTCATTGTTGTGGGCTGTTCAAAGAGCACATGACAACTCAAAACAAAATTCAGTTTGTTCATCGGGTCAAGAAGTTGTTTAGTGTGAACTATTAAACGGGGGACACGGGAACAATAAAAACGGGCACTACGCCACAGTTTTCATAGCAACTTGTGAGGACGTTGTGACTTGCCCATGCTATGCCTATGCCACTTAAATTCAATGCCGTTGTCCTGTAATTCATATTTTTTGTTCTTTCAGCCCTTTTGTTTAGTACACTTCTTTCCGAGCATCGGTGCACTGCAGAGGGAACACCCATGGATCTGTTGCTTCTCCGCAATGTGCCAGCGCTCGGTGTATGCCATGCTACCAGATCACAGCGTCTGCGCAAGTTGCTGTAGAAATTTCCCCATGAGCCCCGTTGAGTGCGCTTATCACCGAGCACCGGTGCATTGCGGAGAAGCAACAGCTCCATAAGTGTTCCCTCTGCAGTGTACCGGTGCTCGGAAAGAAGCACACTCAACAAAAGGGCTGCAAGAACAAAAAATATGAATTACAGGAAAACGGCATTCGGTTTAAGTGGCATATGGATACACTAAGAACATTAGCGAGACAACCAAACTTAGGAAATTTGTTTGAATTAACCAGAAGTATAATATCCGAGTTTGAATTATCGCAAGACTACCGTATACAGGCTAGACTTTTATGAAGTCAAGCCAAACTATGACAAACAGCAAAACAAATATATTGTTTTATGTTGAAAACTCTACTGCTACGTAGACCCAAAGGTCACAAACACAAAGCTTGGACCTCATTTGCTTCAGGTCCGTTGTATTGAGATGGCAAGTGAAATGAATAAAGGCACAAAGCTGAGACAGTCTGTTACATAAACATATTTGTGCGAGATTAGTGTGCTGAAATCTCGCTCATTTGTAGGTAGCATTCACTGTCACAGCTGAGTTCACTGCTGCTGAGCATATGCTGACGTCAAGCTTTTGCAACACTTCCAACATGCACATTGCATACCATGAGGAATGTCTTTTCTGGAATAAAGCCACCCTGAAAGGGTGAACAGTATTGATAAATAAAAGAAATCAGAAGTAATCCTCAGCAGTCAGTTCAAATATGGTGTACAACCGACCAGTAGACACTATCACTAAATTTGGAATCACCCTGAGCACCTCTGCTGCTCAACATGGTAGTCTTTTTGACATAAAACAGAATTGTAGGGACAAGCAACCAGAAATATGTGGCCGGCATCAACACTGCACATTGGATCTGCATGAAGCCAGCTGCTTTCACAACTAATAGCTGCAACAGCCAAGATCGGGCTTGACCTGCACACTGTAGGCTGGCTTTACTAAAGCCCACATACTTTCACAACTAATAGCAGCAATGGCCGAGAACTGAGGAGTCGAGCTTGATCCACATGCACACAAAAAGCAAGAATGAAATACAAATAAGAGTGTTTTCAAATTATGTACAAGGGTGACAAGACTGACATTCTTGTGTATTTTCCTTAGCGCCAGCACAGCACCAGTCAGCGTGCAGCCAACCACTAACGAGGTGGTTGGAGAGGACAGAGTCCTGAACTACGAAGTTGAAGTGGACCCCGGGGTCGCATTCCTCGAGGTGCCGGAGTCCGAAGAAACACAGGACTACGAGCCTCCGGACTGGCCGATGGACGAGGATGAGGCACCCGTGGAGCCTGGTGCAGCAGCTGCGCTGCTACGTCGGGAGGGGCCTCCTCCTGTGGCAGGGGGACCGCCTGAGGCAGCAGCTGCTGCTGAAGGGCGACCGGCACCACTGGGCCGGCAGGGACCACCTCGTTCACGACCGGTCTGGAGGCCCAGCGCACCACCCGCAGGCTCGGCAGCCAGCACACGGGCTGCAGACAAACAGTTTTATAGGGACATCATGGAGCAACAACACGAGAACGTAAAGTTAGAACGGCAGTGCCTCCTTGCCAAACTGAAGGCGACGGAAGAGCAGGCAAGGGCAGCAAGGGCAGCCTGCGAGGCTGCCGAAATGATGAAAAAGGCTGCAAACTTTTATATTGAACAGGGAGAAAAAATTTTCATGTTACTTGGGAAGGCCCTACAACAAGACCCTTAAAGGGGAGGAGGGGCCTTCAGTTTGGCAAAGAGGCACTGCCGTTTTAGCTTTACTTTGTAAATACAATAAACAGTTTTTTTTGGTTAGTTCTCTTCAATGTCTTGTTGGTTCCAAGTATGCAAAAAAATTCCACTGCATTATTTATTTCATTTAGCAACATGAAAAGCTAAAGAAATGATGGCACCATAAAAAAATGCAACGACTTTTACACACTCAGCTAAGTAAAAGTGAAAGTCATTAGTGTAATAAACACGCGTAAAGACCGCACCCGCAAAAAAAATGTTTGCCTTGCGCACCATTGCATTTGTACAGGCCTGAGCGATGTCACCGCCGACGTGGCATGCAGTCAGCATCAAAGCTTTTTTTTGCTTTGCAATCCTTACAATCATCTCCCTTCTTGCTGCCTTTTGTCGAAGTTGCTTAAGGCACATTCAGCCAAAACACCTAACTATTCATCTCCCTTTTTATGTTTGAGCAACCTTCATCTATGATCCACTGACGTCAAAGCCGAGTAGGAACGACAACGAAAGAAAGTACAAACTGCAGGTCCAAAATGGAAGTGCCGCGGCGCAAAGGCCCATACACACAGTTTCGTTTCAGTGCGTTTGACTGCACTGTATCGAAAAGTAGCCACAACTCCTTGGGCTGCCTGTGGTTCATATAAAACAAAGCAACTAACTTGCTTATCAGACGGCAAACAAACGGGGGCCCCGCACCATGCTGGTGATTGACTTCCCACCACATGGAAGCACTTACCAAGGCATAGGATGCCACAAATTGCCCGGACATGCACTGATGTGCACCATATTTTCTACAAAACTACCTGGTTTTTCGCATGCAAACTTGAAAAACTGTGCCAAACTTACGATGACGACATTCACCCAGCACGTACGGGATATTTCGGCGTTGGTAAAGTGTGCTACGACCAGAAAGTTCCAATATGCCACCGACAAAGTTTTGATGCGAAAGGCTACTGTGTCGGAAGAACAAATTTAAATATGCGGTTCAAGGCGTAACTGGAATCCCGCAATTATTTGACCAGCGGCTCTAGACGCCACTCATAGTAAAGTTATGAGTTAGTGAAGTATTGATAAACAATGCAAGGATCCATATGTCATGGACCGCAAAGGCCGATGTCTCGGTGGCAGCGTTTCAGCGAGCATGCATTTGGGGGCCACTGCCGACTGATCATTGCCTGGCCGAACTCGCGGCGAGGCACGCTTCCCGTACTCGGCGAGGAGGCCCCGAAGGTGCGCTCAAAACATGGAAACTACATCATGAAGATAAAGGCAAAGGGCATCGTTATCACGAACAGGCAAGGCTGATGCAAAGAGTGTGTGAACATATATGTTAAAAAGTGTTGTCAATGCACCGCCACGAAGAGTCCTGCCAACTGTGTAGCTGCAGCCCTCCTCTGCCACTCGGACTTTCTTTTCTTTGACGGTTACTCTGTTGCGGGGCGACTCAATGAAACTATCGCCGCGATACATAGCAAGTGCTACAGCTGAATCAGGCGCATTTTACCATAGCTCTCGCTGCAAATGGCCGTCGCCTCAACCACCAGTATACAGTCGACTACAGACACGATGGTTGTAATCACATTCTGCTTGTACAGTGGCGTCGAAAAGAAATAGGGGGGCAGGGGGGGAGACTGCCCCCCCGACAGGTCAGAAATTTAATGGAAAAGATATGGGGGAGGGGTGAAAACTTGCCCTTCCCCCCCACCACTGTCGCCCTCCCCATCTGCTGAATGGTTCTGACGTCTCTGTGCTTGTAATCACCCATTTTTTCTGACAAAAAGTTTTACTTCAGTGTCCTATTCGAAAGTTTCTGGCAATAGCCACAGTTTCAACAGATTGTTCATGGTGACTGTTGTGTGTAGAGTGGTGGCACCATCCGGGACACGGACCGCAATCCTAGAAGATTACTCCACACCGCGGAAAAAATGCAAAGCACGCAGTCAACGGCCAACGCCAGCCAGTGAACCTATCATGTCTTCATTACGTAGCCTTGGTATCTTGAGTCAATAAATAGTTCATGTTATCCGGTCATCACCTACTGGCCAGGATCTATCATGTGGTGATGAGGATAAGATTGCATAGAGACTGCCGCACTCTACGGCCCCACATCGGAACGTGCAGGTGAGGGAGAAGGTTTGTGAACATCGCCCTTTGTTCGGGTACCCCCCTTGTACCCTCGACAAGAAATGACGACGCTGGGACAGATAGGAGAATTCAACCCTGCGTTTCCGGAGAAGTGGGACGCCTACGAGGCAAGATTGAACTTCCACCTCGAGGCAAACGATGTCACCAACCCAACCAGAAAACGTGCTGTATTTTTTTTAGCGTTTGCGGAGCTGCCACTTTTGACTTAGTACAGTCACTACTCGCGTTGGCAACTCCCAAAACGAAGACCTTCAGCCAACCGTCGGAGATTGTACGCCAGAATGCCTTTACCGGCGGAATCAGGGTCCCGAGAAGTCTGTGGCCTTATTCATTGTGGAACTACGGCGGTTGTCACAAAACTGCAACTTTCCAAATCTCACGGAAACACTGTGAGATCTACTCGTGTGTGACCTGAGGGATGAAACTCTTGAAGCTCGACTTTTCGCAAAAAAAAAAAAACTCTCGTTCAAGATCGCTCAGGAAGAAGTGCTGGCAGCTGAAGCGGCGGCTCAAAGCACCACGATGTGAGGGGAGGAGAACCAGCTGTGGCAACCAACGTTGCCATACATCAGGACTAAGAGGAAGGAGAAAACACGCTTAGGCAACCGACAAGGAAACAGTATACCACGGGAAAACAAAGCCTTGCAATGGGTGCAGAGGAGCTCACGCACGGGAGTATTGTCAATTTAAGGATGCCCAGAGTCACTTATGCAGAAAAATCGGCCGCATCGACTGTGTGTGTCGCATGAAACAATGAGCGCAGAGCGGGCCATGGGAACAAGAGGATCCAAAACCATGGCGAACGTTCTGAACTTGAAAACACAATCTGATGATGTGTACGATACTAACCAACTGGCCCCGCCACAGGCATCGCAGACACGTAAGCACCGGACGTCGGCAATGATGGAAGTGGACTAGGGGTCAGAGTTATCGATCATCCCAGAACAAACAAATGAGGTCATGAAGAAGATGCTGCACCGGGTGAGCCATTTCAATCGCAAGTCAGATTTCCATTGCAATACGGTGCAGATCAAGGGGGTGTATAAGGTCCATGTCAAGCACAGCAGTTTCGAAGGAGACCTGAAACTGCTAGTAACACAGGGACAGTGGACAACCCTCCTTGGCATGGACTGGTTTAAACCATTGGGAATCAGGCTGCTAGGGGTAAATCAGGTCACAGGGCTGTCTACTGAAGGTGTGCTTGCAAAGTATGAAGGCGTTTTTGGGTAAAAGATTGAGAAGTTTGAGGGACCCCCACTATCGCAGCACCTTGACTTTACAATGATGCCAATCCGCATGAAACCCTAGCAAATGCCCTTTGCGCTCACGCTTAAAATTGACGCCGAACTTGATTGCTTTATTGAACAAGGCATTTTGGAGCCGGTCATGCAACCAAAGTGGGAGACCCCGATTGTGACGCCCATGAAGGCAACTGGAAACATTAGAATATGCGGCGCTTACAAGTGCACTTTCAACAAGGCACTGGCTCAACACCCGTACCCGATCCCCATGGTACAGCACCTCCTGGCATCACTCTCGGGGGGGAGGCTGTTTGAAAAACTGGATTTGGCAGAAGCTTACCAGCAGCTGGTGGTTGATGAGGAAGCGGCGGAGGCACAAACGATCACAATCCATCGAGGAGCATTTCGAGTAAAGCGGCTACGGTTTGGAGTAAATGTTGCTCTAGGGATCTTTCAGAGCTTCATGGACGACCTCCTGAAGGGGATCACCGGGGTTGTGTCACAATTCGATAACGTTCTAATTGCTGCAAGCACCAAAGAAGAGTTGGCAGGCCACCTCGAGGAAGTCCTGCACCGTCTTGCTGATGCTGGACTCACGGTAAAAAGTGGAAAGTGCCATTTTGAAGTGTCACAGCCCGAGTTCCTGGGATTTCTTATTGACGAGACGGGTGTGCACCCAACAAAAGAAAAGGTGAAGGCGATTCATGAGGCACCAGTACCAACAAGCAAACAGGAGCTACAGGCTTTCCTAAGACTGCTAAACTTCTATTGCATCTTTCTGCGAAAAAGGCAGCAGTGGCCAAGCCACTACGTCAGCTACTTGACAAAGAGGCACGGTGGGAGTGGACGCCTCTTCATGAACAAGTTTTCAACGAACGCAAGCAGCTGCTGTCCTCAGCAAGTGTGCTGCACCATTATAATGAAACAAAGCCCTTTGTGCACACTTGTGATGCCTCACCATAAGACATACATTAAAGCTGTACTTGGCCGTCGACCGGAAGATGACAAAGAGGTCCCCGTCGCATTTTACTCCCGCACATTGACATCTACCAAGCCAAACTATGTTCAAATCAACAAAGAAGCCTTTGCAGTGCTGGGAAGCGTAAAGAAGTTCCATGACTACACGTATTGCCTTTGAGATCATAACACCACAAACCACCTTTGGGACTGTTCACACCCGCAAAGCAGATGCCATACATCTTGTCTCCACGAATGTTGCGTTGGACGATCCTACAGAATGCTTATAACTACAGTTTGGATCATTGACCTCGGAAGGACATACAACATGCCGATGCATTTAGTTGCCTCTCACTTACCATTCCAGAGTTTGTGGTGCCACCTCCTCTAGAAGTTTTGTTTCTGGAGAACACATCCAATCCACCGCCCCACGCCAAGGACGGCGCACAAATGACAGCAAAGAACACCGTTTGAAGGGTTCTCAACTGGGCTCTGAAGGGTTAGCTGCCAGGCGGCCTTGAGGCAAATTTCCAGCCATTCAAGATTCGACAACATGAGATGCAAGTTCACAAAGGATGTATACTTTGGGGGAACAGGGTCGTAATTCCCCCAGAGGGCAGGAAGGTGTTGCTGGAGGCCCTCCATGTCGGACATCCTGGCATCGACCAAATGAAGGCTCTGGCTCGCAGCTATGTGTGGTGGCCCAAGATGGACAGAAGCATAGAAGAGCATGTGATCAAGTGCATGGCATGCCAAGAGTAACGGCCTGCACCTCCTCGTGCCTCAGTAGACGCATGGAATGCAACTCCAGCACCGTGGTCTCGGATGATGGGGCTCAGTTCACCTCCGAAGAATTCCGCACATTCTTGAAAGCCGGTCTCATCAGACACATCACGTTAGCACCCTTCCACCCGTCAACTAACGGACAAGCAGAGCGCATGGTGCACACAACGAAAGATTCGCTACAGCGTATTGTAAAAGGGAACACGAGGGCAGCATCTGACCAGTTTTCTGCTACAGGAGCATGTAACACCATGCATGATGACAGGCAAGAGCCCAGTGGATATGCTGATGAACAGGAGGTTGAAGACGATACTTGACCGACTGCACCCAGACCTGACTGAGAGCATGAGGAAGGGAGCTGATGAGAATTCCAGCGAAGGAGCCCAACCGAAGTCACGAATGTTTCGAACAGAAGACCCAGTATTCATATGCAGCTACAGCAGTGGCCCTTCATGGATACTGGCGACAGTGGTTGAAATGACGGGTCCAGTTTTCTACAAAACGCGCACCCAGGAGGGCACTATCGTGCGACGTTCTGTCGACCAAGTGTGTAGGAGCGGTGCATCGAGAGTTGCAACAGACAGCATCAGCCACGGACAGCGGCAAGCTGCTCGTCCTGAACCACCTGAGCACCCGAATACAGGCAGCGCAGTGCACATGTCAATGATGGGCCCAGTGCAAGATATGGATGTGGCCAGGCAGAAGAGATGAGACGGGGCTCGAGCTCCCCCCCAAGCGGTGGAAGGAGTGTTGTGTATTGAGTGGTAGTACCATCTGGAAACAGGTGCCAAACCTAGAAGGCCACGCCACACCGCAGGAACAATGCGAAGCACGCAGTCAACGGCCTACACCAGCCAACGAACCTGTCACGTCGTCATGTAGCCTTTGTATCTTGAGTTAATAAATAGTTAATGTTATCCTGTCGTCATCTACCAGCCAGGATCTAACAGTGACTATACGTGAAGAGTGCTGAAAACATTTTGTTAGTTACGGCCTCATTATTTCAAGCACGTGTACAGTATGATCAAACTGTTTAAAAAAGTTGGCCCCGAGATATCTGTAGACAGCATGATTAGTACTTGTATTCAACTAATTCAAAAACAACCCTTACCTCTAACTCTTACATTTTTTCCAGTTTTCTGTGCACCTGGTTGTATGCGCACTCCGCTGGCGTGTCTACCCAGCGGTAGGGCACGATCAATCACGGCCATCGTAGCCGATCGCCATCCGCGATGACGAGCCCGTTTGAAGTTCCTCCTCCGAAGTTGTCTCTGATACAGCTCTGCGATAGCATGTGGTGCTTCCTTGCCACTTGGCGACCACCTCACGATCTGTGAGCATATGCCGACCGACCACCAAGAGGACTACCTACTTGTCCGGCGTTGGTTCCGAGGAGCTCCGCTGCTGGTGACCACCTTAAGTGGAAAAATATGTCTGAGATTCGTTCACGACAGACAATAAAAATGCTAGCGCAGTTTCGATTCAAATATATGTAGCCACGCCATAACAATTCCTAGCGAAGGTTCATAAACACTGCTATAACGCATCAAGCTACTCGCTATCTTCCAAAATGTTTTGGAACATGACGTCCGTCGGGAGTTGACGCTGATATTTTGAGAAACTGTTTGCTTTTCCGACTGTTTTTAAACACGAAACACATAATTTTACAAAGGAAGGATTGCCTCGGAACTGCACCTCGGCCAACTCCGTGATCCTCGGGTTGAAAATCGTCTGAATAATAAGACTAGGTACTACGTCTTGCTTTCCGGTGCTTTCCGTTCATTCTTGAATGGATGGCGCTGCATTTGTGTCAGAAACTGAACCGCAAAAGTAAGTTATAATTATGCCAAACTTATTCACATTTGCCTTTACGAAACAGCACAACAAAATAGTGGTGTTATTGATATTATTTCTTACCTGAGCACTTGCATCAGGACATGGGTGACCAGTCGAGCTCACAGGAAAACAAGCGATTGCGAAACCACCAAACCGAAAACGAAACAGTCGTGGCAGGCTTCCCTGTCGAAGATGTTGATGGCGTAGAAGCAGTCTAAACTCGCTTCAACAAAAGCATTCACCCATTAAAAATGACTTGTAGCCGGTGCGTAGTGGCTGGTGGTAGACACGTCCGACATTTTGTTTTCTCAGGCGGTCTCATCTTGGGTCTCAGCTGAGACCCAACGTAAGACGCCGGTTGAGCCGCTTGCTCGAAACGAAATTAGAACCGTCTCAGCCAAGTCAGGACTTGAGTCCGGTACCTACAACCGAGTGAGCGGTGCCTCGAGAGGGAATCTTGGGAAAACGGAGAAAAACGAAGAATCCGGACGTGGATGTGACACGGGGTCGTCTGCTACGCCGCGATCGTTTTGGACAGCGACAAACGACGACAGTCTCATAATTACTGCGTCGTGTTTTTCGTGCAAACCGTGGTTATACGTGAAAAGCGACAGCAAGCCGCGATTCTGGGCGTTGTCTGTCACCACCATCGTCGACGTCGAGTGCGTACGCCGTATAAAGGTGTCCACAGAAATGTCTGTTCGTGCCGATGCATTTTCTAAGAAAAAGGAACAACACTGTACGTCCCTTGAAAGGTAAAGACGAATGTAATTTGGTGCAAAGATAAAAAGTATCAATTGGTGTACGAAATGCAGAAACAAAAACGCGTAATTCGAGATAAATTTAACAAGATTACAAAAGTTGCTAAAAAGAAAGCACGGCATCTGTTCCATAGAGATCATACATACTGCCCGTACTGAACTAGCGGGACCAACCGATGCTACGCACAAGACAAAAAGTTAGAAAAAAAAAAAGTTGCAGAACGTAACATTTTTTAGCTGCAGAGTTGACGCTTTCCACAAGGGCGAGTTTGTTATACATTTGTCTTTACTGCACATAAAAATGAAGCACACATTCTATGTGCTCAATCAATTTTTTTTACTTCTTATTTTCCTGGTTAAATTATAGTAATAGTCAAGAGCTCTGGATTCGAACATCCCTTCTAATTTTCCTGGCTAAATTATAGAAGTTGTCAAGAGTTCTGGATTGAAAACTTTTATTACAAACAAATCAAAACAATGAATGCACTTGCTGCAATCAGACAAAATCCAATGACCCAAGAAAATGTAAAAAGAGCCGTCTTCCACAGGCACAGGACCAGTGAGCTGTCATGTTACTGCTGTTTCTACAAAGATACTAGAATGCAGTATGTGCCATTTGATGCAAACAAGTCTAGCCTTTTGAGGTTGACATGATTGGGGGTTCTAGCAAAGCTAACATTTATTTCATAACTGTATCTTGGGTGTGCAAATACTAAATACTGGGCCCACTCTAGGAAACATTCCAGCAAGTGCTCTCCAAAGCAAGAAGGATCTGTGCACATTCAAGAACACTGAAACTTTGAGCCATGTCATTTCAGTTAAAAGTCAAAATCGGTATTTTTTAATGAAAAAACACTGCACTTATCAATAGAAGAATTAATCTTGTACACTGCTCAAGTGCTAGAAGGTACATTTTAAAAAGGAGTTAAGCAATGCAAACAATACAAAGGTTATTGTGTTTCCATTGCACCATCACCACAAAATACACAGGCTAGAAGCTTATGAAGTAAAGCCGCAACATGGCAAGCAGTAACATGAATTCGATGTTTTATGCCGAAAACTCTACATCTCCATAGGTCCAAAGGCGACAAACACAACACTTGGACCTCATTTCCTTTGGGACCCATTTTCTTTGGGTCCATTGTATTGAGATGCCAAGTCAAACGAATGCAAACACAAAGCTGAGAGTCTGTTACACAAATATGTATGTGCAGGTGCTTTTACCCATCTAGCTCATTTTACAGGTAGTATTCACTGGCGGCCATAGCTGAGCTCGCAGCTGCGGAGCACATATACTGACGGCAAGCTTCCACAGCACCTGCAACATGCACATTGCCCACAAGAAGAATGTCTTTTAGAGTGCAGCTCTTAGGCGTGCGTCTCCGGAGTGAGTGGTGTCGGTGTTGGCCTAACTGCGCGTTACATTGGGACGTTTCCCATAATGACATCCCATGTGACGTCACTAGGGTCACGAGTGACGTCAGAAAGGTCACTTGTGAAGGTCATGAGGGAGGAAGGAGGGGGAGGGAAGGGGTGGAGGGAGGATGGAGGGGAGGAGGAGGGGCATACCTGTTGGTAGTGTAATGGACCGTTATCGGATGGCGACATAAATCCAGCGCTAAGGTCGTGCAGCCGTTCCCCTTTTGTTTGCATTTTCTCTCCTCTCTTCCCGCCTGATAAACAAAAGTGGCAGCTCGGCAGCTGTATGTCGTTTCTTCATCCCCAAATCCACTCGATCCACGTCCCAGAAATGCGGTCACTCTGCGCACTTAAGGTAAACGAACAATACCCTCCTCTCCGTACCCCCCTCAAGAGCTGCATTCTTATTCGGCATTACAGGGAATTGTAAACGTCTCATTTTTTTTTGCAACACAATTAATAAGAAGTCATCCTCTGCTTGCACATATTCAGCAGTAAGCTAGTACCATCTATTAAGCACCGACCGGCATATACTCACTAAACTTGGTATCACCCTGAGCACACCTGCTATGGTATTCTTTTTATCACTGGAAAGAAGCACAGGGACAAGCAACCAGAAAATCGGGTGGCCTGCATCAACACTGCGCACTGGCCCAAATTGAAGCAAGCTATTTTCACAAAAAATAGATGCAACAGCTAAGATTGCGCTTGACCTGCACACCATAGACTGGCTCTATTCGAGCCCAGCGACTTTCACAACTAATAGCCACAACAGCTACGATCGGGCTTGACAACCACACTGCAGACTGGCTCTACACGAACCCAGCTACTTTCAGAAATAATAGCCGCAACAGCTACGACCGGGTTCGATTTTTACACCGTAGACTGGTTCCACTCAAGCCTAGCTACTTTCAAAACCAAGAGCCACAACGGTTCAGAGCTGAGCGATCGAGCTTGATCCACATGCACACAAAATGATTTCCTGAGAAACAAATAAGAGTGCGCTCGAACTATATACAGGGGTGACATTAAAAACATTATTGTGGATTGTACTCAGGGTTAGCAAAGCACCAGTCAATGTGCGGCCAGCAACTAACGTGGTTGGCCCGGAAGGTTGGGTCTTCGGCCACAAGGTCTTTGTGGCCCCCGGGGTCATTTTCCTCAAGATGCCGAAGTCCGGGGAACGAAAGATAACCAGCCTTTGGACTGGCAACTGGACGAGGATGAGGCGCCCCTTCAGCCTGAGGCAGCACTGCTGCCGTTGGAAGGGCGACCACCACCATCAGGCCTACGCTGACCGGGACCGTGTTGTCCAGAACCAGCTTGGAGGCCCAGCATACCACCTGCAGGCTGCAGACAGGCAGTATTATAAATACCTGTTTGCGCAACAGGCGGAAAACATGCCACTCAAATGAAAATGTGTCCTTCCTTGGCTAAATACAGCCCTCGAGGAGCTCAGAATGGCACAAGCAGAGCACAAAGCAACAAGGGAGACACAGATTGCGGCTATTTTTTATGGAGATCAGTGCAAAAAAATCTTAGCTCTGCTAGGGCAGGCTGCTCAACAAGAAGGCCCATAAAAGAAAGGGGGGGGGGATTGTAAATATATTAAAATAATTTTTCTTAGTCCTCTTCAATGCCCCCACCTTTAGTTTCTAGCATGCACAAACCTTCCGCTTCATTATTTCGTGTGGCAGCATGCAAGACTAAAGAAATGATGGCTTCATAGAACGGTTGCAACAACTTTTACACACTCAGCCAATTAAAAGCGAACATCATAACCACAAAGACACCTGCCACGGCCACACCTCAAGAAAAATGTTTGCCTTCCGCACCATTGCATTTGTACAGGCTTTTTGAGACTTCACCGCCGAGTGGCATGCAGGCAGCGTCAATGCGTTCAGTATTTGTGTCGTGCCGTGAATGCCGTGAAGTTCCGTGCCGTGAAGTTCACCGGCACTGGAGTTTTGAGGTTATTGATATATTAACTCTTCTGGTGCTGGAAAATCACAGTGTCTGCGCAATACACCAAAATAGGAACACGGACAAGCTACGGCACAAAGCGAAATCCTATTTGGATCGCATTCAATTACTGTTCGCAAAGCGAAATCCTATTTGGATCGCATTCAATTACTGTTGGCTCTAGGGAGGATCAGTGGCGTACCACAGTTCGGAAATTGTATAGCAAAAACTCGCAATGCAGAACCCAGGGACCCTGAGCTCAAAGCTCCTAGCTCAATCCACACCCCTGCCCATTGCACAAGAGAAAGACACCATGTTTGTTCAACAGGAAACTATACTGTCTCACCGTCACTTGGCAAAAAGCAAGTGATATGGCCCCCTCCAGCCAATCGGTGACAAAGGCAAAGCGTAACCCAAGCAGTTGAAGAAGTGGGGAAGGAGGAACTTGGGAAGTTGCTTTCCCTCCCCTGAAACTTAACCTGTAACTGAAAATTGTCCCAAAAGCGGCATTCTTCTCTTTTTCGTCTATGTCTCTGATAGCACTGCACGCACCTAGTGAGTCAAGTGTCTCTTCCCAACCTGCTGATTGGTTTTCTTAGACCGTAGCCTTCGCCTTTTCCCAACCCAGTTATGATGTAATGGATTACAGAAAACCTGCGGCAAACAAACAAAGAAAACCCAAAGGTGTTAAAAAAGAAAAAAGATGTTTAACACAATCTCACTAATATCATAGCAACGTTTCGGAAACAAGGCTAAAAAGAACAATAAGAGTTGTTTTTTAAAGTGGTGAAGTTACACCCAGCAAATTATTTTGGTTGAACTATATTTAGCTACGCAGCGAAATGGTATGCTTTGGCTCTGTATCTGTATTTCCACAGAAAGCTGACCCCACATTGGCATCAGAAAAATTAACGTCGTCATTATTGTGTCCGACAGCGTAAGAAACGCAGAGTGTCTCTTAATATGGACACGCTTCTAGGTTTGCAATTATTTCTTACCAGCAAAAGTCGAAAGCTCATTGGCGGAGGTGCAAAATTAAGATACTCGGAACGTACCGCACCCTTTAGAACAGAAAACAGCGTGATGTACCCAAAAGCTATAAATCTAGCGAACTGAGGCAATAGGACCTGTGAGGATCATGGACACAGAGAAGTCAGGATCGGGTGTTTCAGCTCATTGTCTGTGGGGTTACAACAACAAACAGAACCCTTCACACCACTTATTGTGATGCTCGATACAACTGTACTCAGCAGTTCTTTTGCCAGGCACCATGATACTGCTGCTGTTTGCCATTCGGTGCAGTCTGTCTACAATCAAATTTTATCTACAACCTGGCATGGTGGCTATCTTAGGATACACTGTGCACATAAACCAGTTTGTTCATAGCCTGGCTATTCAATGCGCAGTGTGCCCTTTGCGCTTTAGAAAAAGGTAGCTCTGAGACATCTCACAGACACAGTTTTTCTGAAAGCAGCTCTCCATAACACCTACCTTTCGATTACAAACCGTGTTGTACCGTAAGCATGGTTGTACGCACACTCCACTGGCGCAGTCGGCGATCGGAAAGGCGCTATCACCCACGCCCTGCACGGGTAGCCGCAATGGTCTATTAGGAGGCCGCCGTACGCGCCCGTCGCGACGTTCTCCCCGTCACTGCTCTGCGACAGCACGTAGGAATCGTGGATGCTTCCGGGTCACATGGCACCACATTCAGGATCCTCGAGCGCGCGTCCACAATCAGCTGCAAGTTGATAGAGTGACCGTAGTGCTTGTTGACGAACAGTTCCTCGTACACGGCGGCCCTTGGATCCGAACGTGGGTGACGTCGATGACTCCCACGACGCCCGGAAAGCCGCCCATGACGTAAAACTTCTGCTGCAGTTCGGGGAGTTCCGCTGCTGTTGACCACTCGAAGGAGGAAACATGGTTTACACCTTCAGTTGAATACTATAGCAGTTTTCATTGCCGACATAGTCCTCAAAAGAACGAAGCTTGCCGCGAGATATGATCAATACATGTCATTCGCTACCGTTTTGAAGAGTCTGCTCCTTTTCAAAACTCACTCAAGTATCCACCAGCTGTTTCCACTGACAAGTTGTGAAACTCGTTATTTCAAAACTGTTTTCGTAATGAGGAACTCACCGTGATACGAAAGACCGTGCCACACCAAAGACAATAAAAAATAGAGTGAGCTTGGGGAAGGACCACTACACAACGTTTTGAGGACGCAATGACGGCGCTGCATGTTGACTGGCAGAAGGGGCTTTTAACTGACGAAAACAAAAGTCTCGATTGCTCCAAAATTACTTCGCAGCTGGCCGCTTAATAAATGTAACATATAGTCGAAGAGGAACGTTAGAAATAAGACTATTTTCTTACCTCCAAGACTCCGGTGATGCGCATGTTGCCGTCGCGGCGAAGGCGAAACCGAAACCTCTTCAGAAACGTCGAAGGTGTCGAGGGGGCGAAATCGGTCCTGGAAAACACGGTCCGACGGTGCCGCGGAGTGCATTCATGCGGCGAAGATTGTTTGGAGCCGGTGTCGTTTGGCCACGTCCGACATTTTGTTTACTCTGAGACCGCCAGTGAGCCTCCTCGGTTACTGTCTCAAGATCTGAGACTAGAGTTGAGTCAGAGACTCGGTTTTGGTCTCAAGTCCAGACTAAGTTTCGTTTCGAGCAAGTGGCTAACCTCTGAGACTGTCTCAGTTTGGGTCTCCGTTTGGGTCTTAAATCGGCCGCCAGCTAATTTGCTACGGGGCTGTCTCCCGGCTTGAGACACAACTTGAGTCAGAGACTCGGTTTCAGTCTCAAGTCCAGACTTAGTTTCGTTTCGAGCAAGTGGCTCACGTTCGGTCTCGGCTGAGACTGTCTCAAGTTGTGTCTCAACTCTTTCGAGCAAGCGGCCCCTGGACACGTTTCGATAGACACTGTCGCTCCTTTTTCTCGCCACGGCTCTGCGGTTCGACTGACCTTTTCCGGTTAAAACTGAATTTTAGAAAATGGATTCGGCATACTTTTATAGTTTTAAACTGAAAACTCCGAACCCTAGCTATATCAAACTTTTCCCTCCAGGAATGCTCCCAAAAACGCGCAAACAATCGTCTTCTAGCCTCTTCCTCCCCCCTCCCCAAACAAAAATAAAAAAAATTAGGAAAGAAAGTTCCAAAAGCTCAAGCCCCGAACAAAGTTGAGCGAAGTGAAGCAATTCAGAATGGGAGAAAGCTAAAAAAAACAAAAAAAAACTGCACGCACGCAGAGAAAAAAAAAATATTTTCAGCCCAAAGCGGTTGCCCACGAAGAGAAGCGATTCAGAAGAAAAGATAAGGTAAAAAAAAATCTAATCGCATGCAAAGAAAAAAGAAAAAATTCAACGCGTCGTTAGAAGGCAGAAGCGAAAAGATGAGAAAGAAAGAGAAGCTCTCGCCTTATAACGAACGCATCGTGGAAGTTCGTTGTAAATGGTTTTTGCTATATTGAACTACTTGCAATATCAAACTTATCGTATCGTTTCCTGCTGTTCGTTATACACGGGTTTGACTGTATTGGTGGTCTTGGAGGCATAGGCGTGATGAGAAACGGAAAAATTTTGTTCCTTGCGGACAATTATAATGCAGGTAACAGTGCAAAAGTTTGTTTTTCAACAATTCGAAGCTTCGCCATTTCGCTCCTTGCGTACACGATGGCATAGAGCAGGGGTGGCCAGGTTGGCGGCCTAAGAGCCGCAAACAAAACCTCGAAACTTCCAAGAACCGCGGGGGAGGGGAGAGGCTATATTTTGTTTAGAGCAATAAACTAAACTCAAACTACTTTCAATCTATCCGAGTCAAAAGCAGTCTAGCTGTACGTAAGGTAGGAGTAGCACAATACTACCAAACTGCAACCTGTCTTTCGATTTAAAACGCGTTCAATATCTTTTTGGGGAGAAGTGCTCGTGTGACCGAAAGGGAGGCAGGAAAGTGGCAGGGGGGGGGGGGAGCCGCGAGCCACATTTTAACACGCGAAGAGCCGCAGCTTGGCCACCCCTTGCATAGAATCTCGCCTCGTCCACCGCGCTCCACCACATGGCCACATCAGTTGGCTGAGCAAGGAGCCTTAACGTGGCACCACTGTGTTGTCGCATGTTTCAAAAAGAGAGGGATCCAGATCACAAAATACCAGAAGCAGTATAGGATCTTAGAAGCCGTCAACAGGATCACTCTGCGCTCGTGGGCAATAAGGCAAATATAGCAACGTAAGGGCCGATCGCTGATTTTTTCCCACACGGGAACATGTGCCCTTGTTTGTCTAGTTCTACCTCCTAGAAGCGGTATTACTTTGTGTCGCCTAATAAACCCAGAATACCAGCAAATCTCGGCCACTGCACCCACCTAGCATCTCCAACCCTCCCTACGTCCACCATTTTGGAAATCGGTGGCGCCACCTATAGACCGTTCAATTAGGGTCATAGCAGAGACGGTAATAGAGAGAGGAAAATGCCCTCCCCCTCTCACCCCGCATAACGTCTGCTCCGCCGAGTGGGCTGTACCTATCATCCGGCTGGCATGCAAACTCTGTTTAAAATAGCGTCATTTTGGAAATTTAAAGTGCAGATGCGCAGATTTTGGTTTGCCAGTTATCGTGTAATACTATGCTAGATAAAAAGACTAACAGGGTCAAACTGCGCTGTTACCTATGTGCAAATAAAAAAAAAAGGGAAAACTGTGTCAGATTAGCCGGTCTCTGGCGAAAAGTAAATCCGGTTACTGTACCTTTTTTACTATACAAAGTTCGTACTGGTGTAGGCCTTTAACGGCCATGAGTGGAAGTCCGAAATGATAAATAAAAACATGCTTTCCTGCCGCAATACACGCAGTAGTTGAAAGTAGTACTGCCGGCTTACTCAACTGCTATTTAAGTGACAGAAAAAAGATATGCTAGTTGATCATTTACCGAAATAGAACCACATAGAGCCATAGGCTGATTTTGTAGTAGCCATAACTATTCTAAGAATGCGAACCACTTCACAACAGCAGCCACGAGCGCTGTTACAGCCCAAAGATGGAGAATGGCAACCTCCCGGTTTGTCATCTGCTAGCGGAGTCGGGCACGTGCCCTCTCTCTCGTTTTACCCCGCCGAACCTGCTGAATTTCCCGGATGTATGGAGAGGGCGCTCCTGTGGAACAAAATGGTGCTGCCCAGAGAGTGCTAAATGGAATGGTCTATAGTTGGAGTCCCGAATGGAGGGCGCGGTAGTCGGCGAAAATGGCAGACGAAAGGAGGCCTGTTATACAGTTTCGGTTTCAAGTTTTAGCGTGAACCATGTGTGCTGTATATTTTAAGTTTATTTTATTATTGTTTTTTCAGCACTATTATTTCTGCAGCTGTTTGAGATTCTTTTTTTGCTTGGGCACGCAGGACTCTTGGCACGTTGCCTTGCGTTTCAAAGCAAAACGGGAGCGCAAGAAGCTCCGGGATCAGGAGCGAGCTGCGGAAGAGGGCGAGGAAGAGGCACCAGCGCGACCGAAGCAGCAGAGGGTGCCGAGGACTCCTTGCCCAAAACGCGTGATCAGGCCTGGCACGGTATGAAGAATTGTTTGAGAAATATTATTTTAAATTATATTATCAAGTGAAGTTTGACACAAATTCTGTACTTCCATCAATTATATTGCAGAATGTAATGCTCCCAGCTGATGGAGAGGACAGAGAAAGCGTGGACGGCCATGTGCTAGAAATGCAGAGAGAACTCTGCAAAACCAGGCCCAACATGGTTTATGTGGCCGACGCCATGGCGAGAACGTTCGCCTCACGGCGACTCTGGGTGACGACGGAGCACCCGACTGTCGCCGCTGTCCTCTCTATGTACCCAGCGTATCAGCTTGGTACCATCGTGACTACTATTGAGATTGAAAACTTGGGTGCCAGAGAGGAAGAGTGCCATTGTGTTGACTGTATTTGGTTTGCTTTGGTCCTCTAGCTGCAGCAGGAGTTCACTGCTGCTACAGGAAAATCAATCCAGGACAGCCTCACAGCGGCCCTGGCAAGGAGCAGCCTCCGGATCCTGGAGGCTGCTAGAGGGAAACGCCATCTCGGCGAATTTTTTGAAGACCTGGACCGCAGGATTGCCATGGACGACGACGGTCCATATGATGGTAGGAATTGATCAAAGTAGTCAAGGTGGACAGAATGGATATGGATTGCAGGAAACTGCAGTGCTCAATGTCGCTACGTGCGAGTTTTAAGAACGAAGAAGAGGAATACTGATTGGTCTACACAATTCTGCTACCTGAGGCCAGATTTACAAAAAAATGTCTTATATTACGACATCTTAGCTAAGAAATTTGTAAGTTACGATCATTGTAAGAAGAGGCGAAATCGGTATTCACAGACGCATTCTTAGGGGAGAGGAGGAAGGCGCCGTTTTCGTTCAGAAAAACTATAACTTCCGGCGTCTCGCCAGTCTCTGAACACCGCAAGAGCAGACTGTTGCTATGGTGATGGCATCTTGAGCGTCCCAAACAGCCAATCAGGAGGCTCACCGTGCTGGTGCAGACAGGCATTTCGAGAAAAACAGAGGCGGCGCCAGTCGCGGCATGCTCGTCTCATTATGCTTGTTTGTTTACTGTGCTCATGCAGTATGATGCCGATACCTACCGAAGGGGAAACGGTCTCGAATGTTCAGTTTTATCGAGGCCAAGAAAAGATTTGTCACTGGTGCCATCAAATGACATTAAAGCAAAAGGAGACGGGCCGCATTTGCTTACTTAGTCATGCGCAAGGAAACAAATTTTCACATAGTTTTTCAAGAACTCGTGGATCTGGAAGGACGTAGGCGATATTGCAAAAGGGACTGCATCACGATCATCTGGTGGGCTAGTTGGTTGATCATATTGTTGAATTAACAGCGCAAATACGACAGGAAGGAGAGATAAGGGAGACAGGATAGAGCGCTGAACTAACAACTGACGTTTAATAAAAAGAGAAAGAGGATGAAGAACCGAAGAACGCTTTTAAAACATGCATAATGAAAACCCGCAAAAAAATATGCTATAGCTTGAGTTGCCTGAAAATGAATTGCTAAGAATACCAAGCTTTAAGCTGGTCGCTTAAATGACTTGTTGAAATCGATTGAGTCCTGGGACGACGGGAATAGAAATTCCGGTAGAAAAAAGAAAGAGGAAGTTTACGTTTAAAATATTCACCGAATCTAAGGACCGTTAAAGATCGCGACTTAAAAAGTAAAGTTCTTTTTGTGACAAGGCCACGGACGCCGCGCTTACGCAGGCATCCCCACAGGACAGAATAACCTGTGCCTCGTAGAGTTCGTCGTTCCCCTAAACGTTTCAGGATTTTTGTTTTCCTGAACAAGACGGAGCACTGGCAGTCCCTGACATGTATGGCAAAGTGGCCTGATGGCGACGACTTTAGTGACACGGCATGTTCTCTTAGACGATCGTTGACACACCTTCCTGTCTGACCCACATACACTTTCCCACAAGTAAACGGTATTTCGTAAACGACCGCACATTGGCATTCGACGTATCTTTGTCGATGTTGAACTCGCGAGGTGTGTCAACGATCGTCTAAGAGAACATGCCGTGTCAATAAAGTCGTCGCCATCAGGCCACTTTGCCATACATGTCAGGGACTGCCAGTGCTCCGTCTTGTTCAGGAAACAAAAATCCTGAAACGTTTAGGGGAACGACGAACTCGCGAGCTCTAAGAGGCACAGGTTATTCTGTCCTGTGGGGATGCCTGCGTAAGCGCGCCGTCCGTGGCCTTGTCACAAAAAGAACTTTACTTTTTAAGTCGCGATCTTTAAAGGGATACTGAACCGAAAATTCGAGTTCACAAAACAAGGCCGGGCGGATAAGCGGGAAGCTGCAAAACCAAGAAATATCATTCATACGGCGATATATCTAACGGATCGCCGTATTTTTTGGAAAAGAAGTGCGCGATTGAATCCGGCCGACGAGGCCGACGCGACAAGGCACGTCACGATTCCCGTTCTCTCTCCTCCTCGCTACGTCCCGTCAAGCTGGTGAACCGAAGCGAGGAGGAGAGAAGCGAGGCCGCTTCTCCTCATTCTCACATTCTCCCGGAGGACAGTTACGTCAAAGAACTCGCTTGATCGCGCCCTTGTTTTCCAAAAGTACGGCCATCCGTTTGAGATATCGATGTACGAGTGATGTTTTGGAGTTCATAGCGTCCCGTTCAACACTTCTGCAGCCTTACTTTGCGAAATCCAAATTTCGGTTCAGTATCCCTTTAACGGTCCTTAGATTCGGTGAATATTTTAAACGTAAACTTCCTCTTTCTTTTTTCTACCGGAATTTCTATTCACGTCGTCCCAGGACTCAATCGATTTCAACACGTCATTTAAGCGACCAGCTTAAAGCTTGGTATTCTTAGCAATTCATTTTCAGGCAACTCAAGCTATAGCATATGTTTTTGCGGGTTTTCATTATGCAAGTTTTAAAAGCATTCTTCGGTTCTTCTTCCTCTTTCTCTTATTATTAAACGTCAGTTGTTAGTTCAGCGCTCTATCCTGTCTCCCTTATCTCTCCTTCCTGTCGTATTTGCGCTGTTAATTCAACGATTTGAAAAAGGGAGTCGCGCAAAATGCTCACAAATCTGCCCACCAGACATAACATGGATTGTGGAGTCGTAACGCAAGGATGAATGCTCGACCTGCCTGCCCGTTTCTACATACTACATGCTTCAAAAGAAATCTGTACGGCATTTATTTGAGCTCTATGTCGAATGAAACGACGCATCCAATGTGCTGGACCCTAATACCACTTTGCAAATGCGTCCACTACCAACACACATTTCCCGGGACGCCACTGCAGTCCACCTTTTTAGAAAATCACGACCGAGCAATGGAGGGGACAATTCTAATCACCAAATGAATATCACGCTATCCATACGAGAACGGTCCACCAGGTCCGCTCAAGAGTCATACGGCCGGCCCCTTCCGGTGATTCACTATGGTGAGTCTAGCCGTCTCACCCTTCTAGGCCTTGTAGGACAAATTTGGTTGCTAGGCCGAATCCTGAGCTGTGTCCTGAGAGTGTATTTTTGCATCCTCCTTTCTCTTCTCTTACTGCTTGAAACCGGAACGCACGATAACATGCAAAACAAATGGCCCTCGCTTGTACCTTAAACTCTTCGGTTGTCACGGGATCACGGCAAGGTATCCAATTGACGTGCAGCCATGTTGACTAAAAAGTTAGTAAGACACCTTGGAGGTTGTCGTAGGACTTCATCGCACATCACACAAATTTTACAACAATTTTGTTTGGTGAATACGGATTTGTTCTCAAGTTTCGTTGTAGAGACTTTTTTCATTGTGAGATCGTTTTGTGAATCCAGCCTCTGCTCTTATTGGAATTTCAGTTAAGCCGATCTACTTGGCCTTAGATTTTTCATTAAGTCACCCGTATCTTGTGATAAAAATCCCCTCAAGCTACAGCCAGCTTATGCAACCATTCAATCACTGTCATATTTGAGTCTGTGCCATATTGTGACAGGATGGATGCAAATGCAACAACACTGGTTTTATACCGCTCCCTGAAATTTCTCTGGAGCGTGCTGCAGAGCCATTCAAAATCAAGTGTCGAGTGACAGGTACCAGCCGTCCCGAGTCTTTTAAGTTTTCTGCCCGTCTCCCGGCAGCAGCCGAACTGGCCAGGCTCCAATTCAAGTAGTCCAACGCACCCGCCTTAACGGACCTAATCAACAAGTTGTAAATATGCCATATCTGTTGGATTTGCAAGCCAGCAAACATTTTCAGTTTGGAGACTGGGCAACGACTACGCGACCTACCTGTCTGAATTTTTCATGCTACAATCTTACCTCTGCGAGCATTCTAAAACTTTGTTCTGAAAGCTCTTGGTTGGTCAGTTCAGCATCTAAATCAATGCTGTACTATCAGATTTAATGCAGTCACTCATGTACACTTCTCACACTGGCAATACATTTATCTTGCCACCACATCGTCCAGCATTATGAAAATGGCATTCACTTTCCTCCGGTGATTCGTGTTACATTTTTTATTCAACATATTTTTGTCATATTGATGGCCTTTAAAAGTAGGTTTCTTACGGCAGCTACTGACAACATCCAGTACATCTTAACTTTTACGAAAAAGCACAAAAAAGCTTCCCGTGCCGCAAAGCAAATGGAACAACATTTTGTCTCTTAGGATGGCACATGGAAAGGCTTACTTGTCGTTGTGGGGAGCATGGGACCATGAGGAGTGCAGCAATTCACGTGACTTCCAGCGTTCTAACCACAAAATCTTTTTTTTTTTTGGTGTAGACATTTGCAGAGTGCTAGTGATTGCACTTCTGGTTATCATCTTTTGGAAAGGTGCGACATCCCACCATACTGCATGAGTGCCTTGGTTTCGATTTCATCTTTTTGTTATAAAAATATATATGTAACTGCAGTGAAAACTTTGATATGCAATGTCCTGACATGAGGGTTTATTGTGTCGCACAAAGAAGCGAATAGTATCTTTGGTGTCTAAGCTAATATGACTGAACAGTTTTGCATTTCCACATTTCAATTTGATTGATGTGTGCACAGGAAACAGCCAGGATTTTGTAATTTGATTTTAACAAGGGAACGTTTTTACACTGTTCGACTTTCGAAATTTCTGCAGCCTCATTTCTTGTTTGATTTTGTACTAATTGTCTTTGTGGCTTTTGTTATTGCAGAAATGTTGACCAAGGCCGCACTGTGTGCACTGCCAGCTCTGGTCAAGGAAAGGAGTGTGGCATTCCTCCGGCCAAGTGTAAGTTTTGGAGGCCTGCTTGCCCCTTCAACAGCAACCTTACTTCATTTTTCAATTTTGGGGATATGATGGAGTTGGTGATCATGATACACGAGATATGATTTGTTTTTCGGTAGTGTTTATAGCTTTGAAGATATCAGATGTCAAAGGTTTATGTCGGCGACATGGCAAAGCCAAAACTAGCGGCGTAGCACATTGACATCACTGATAATGAACTGCGCGTTTACGCCGTGACGTAATTGTGATCCCGTGGTACCCACGACTGACTAGCTCCGTCACACGAGAAATTTGAAGACTAAGTAAGCGGCACATTTCTTTTTTCTTTTACCGCTCTGCTTCGTATATGTGCACCAAATACAATAAGTGTTAGTGTGTATTTATAAACCTGCTGGTCTAAGAGCGAATTCGACTGTTATGAATAATAGGACGTGTTCAGTGCCAGCGCAGCGTGTGCAGCATGGCTCTATTATTTGTTAGTTGCTTGCGCACAGCAAAGAAAAAGAATAGGAGACAGATGCTGCTCACAAGCAGGTTAGCTGGCTACCTGCCATCAATCAGCGACTGTTTAGGTGCCACAAATTTTACGTATTTCAAGATGTTTCCATAGGCGTCCTACACTTATTACATACTTTAAGAATTTTCCTAGGTGTTTTGGAGTTACATAGTATGCATAGTACGTAAGTCCGAAACAATTATGACAAAGTTGAAGTAGAGCACGACACTGTTAGCGCGAACAAGTGATCGCCGGTTATTCCAGTTTTTGTCTTAGAAACCAAGTGATATCATCAAAACTTTTTATTGCTACGGAAATAGCTTATTTAGGTCTATAATATAAGTGATAAAATTTCGTAGTCGCCAATACTCTTTCGAAGTAAAATGCAAAAATGTGCCGATGTCGTGTTCGCGCTAACAGTGTTGTGTGTATGTGAGACTCGCACAATTTCACCGATATAAACAAGCGCCGTTCGACTGTCGGCCGCAGCAACTCTAACAAACGTACACTACTGGGGTGGCATAACTGCGCCATTTGTGCCATTTTGCGCCAGACGCATTTGTTTGCGCCATCCTGCGCCATGTTGCAGAAATTGTGCCACAACCAATACCTTGCGCCATTATGCGGTAAATCACAAAACATGCGCCAAAAAAATAGTATTTTGTCTTGGTTTCGGTTTTTATCGACTCGATTGGCAACAATGAGCGTGTTTAGCTTGGTCGGCCTTGCAATCTTTTATACTATTTATTCTTCCTGTGTATCCCGAGTCGGAAGCGCGTGAAAAAACTCGCATTCTTAGCGCTACACAACCTGCGACTGGATTGTTATTGTTGAACCATAAGTGGTTAAGCAAGTCGGCCGAGGTGAGGTCGAGTCGTTGAGCGTCAGAATGCCGGAGGCTCTGCGGCCCGGGATCCGGACGTCAGCCAGTCGAAAACAAATGAGCAAACAATACCTTTTAGTACTTCATTGTTAGAACTTGGAACCTGCATTCCCGCAAGATAAATCATGATTTGATAGAATTGAAATGCGGTCCGATCCGAAACCTTGCGGGCCAGCAGCCCTCACGCGAGCGGTAGATCTGCTCGGCATACTTTAACCTTGCTCCTGCTTATCGCTTCAAATACGATAACTCCGTTAATCGTAGCCTGCTGCTTCGATATTGAGTTGCACAATAGGATAAACTCAAAATTCGTTGCCCTGTTCCTCCGTGCAACTGCACGTCCGTTGCTTACGCACGTCACGTGGTTCGCACACATAATTATTTTGTAGAGCACTTGTGGGTTGTGCGATAAGCAGCGCTGGTTTGCATTTTGAGCAGCTGAAAGCCACTCAGAAATTACCAAGGACACTATCTTCAGAAACATATTGTACTTGCTTTTTGGTTCTCATTAAGGCTCACAAAGTTTCAAGTTTTCGCATCTGTTACACTGTTATCCAATTTACCCAGGTCCCTAACTACTCATGTTCATTTATGCTGCTAAGCACAATTGAAATTGCTCTTGTGCTTGTCTAAGGCACAAGCTGAAGTGCAGTGAAAACTGATCTGAGTAGCTCCGAGCCTGCTCTAGAACATAGTTTTAGCTGCTCCCCAACCTCCTCCAAAACAGCTGTTTCAGCTGCTCCCAAGTACATTTCATAAGTTCCACCCCTGCACTAGGGTGCCTTCATGAGCACACATGAAGGCACCCAGCCTTCATGTGTCTGCTTGTGAACAGCACCTGTCTCCCATTCTTCCTTCTTTTTGTTTGCGAGCAACACACAATTATACCGATACAGCCGCGCTGCACCTGCACTGCACGTGTCCTATTATTCATAGCAGTCGCTTTACAAGCGGAAACTTTATAAATACATACTAACACTTACTGCATTTGATGTTCATTTACGAAGCGGAGCAGGAAGAGAAAAAGAAATGAGCAGCTTACTCTTTGTCTTGGAAATCCTTGTGCGACTGAGCCGGTCATGCGTACAGCGGGACCGCTGGATGACAATTGCGTCACAGCGTCGACGGCATCTCATTATAAGTGTTGGCAACGTGCTACGCTGCTAGTTTCGGCTTCGCCAAGTCGCCCACACGAAACTTTGACATCTGATATTTACAATACTATACACACCACCGGAAAAATTATATCTCGTGTTTCGGGGTCACCGACTTAGTTAAATTAATTGTAACCCAGTAATCGTAAAAATGGAATGGAGTTGCTTTTTAACAATTAGCAATGTAATTGGAACAGGACATTAATACTCCTTCATAGCTTTGAAGCCTAATATCCCGAGAGAAGACCCATCCCCTGAAATATAGCCCATCCTTATTTTCTACATGAATCTCCATTTCTTAAGGTGGGCTAAATTTTGCACACTGAAGGTTAGCTCACCCCCTATTTTCACCTAATGTGCCCTCGGTTTTGAGTGGGCTATCTCGGGATATTGCGTTACATTCGCGATTCCAGCAAAACGGATGCCGCCAAGCACTCCGTGGCTCTCCTGTTGGGTGACTTTCGTGGCTGGATATTGCCGGTGCGGTAGCAAACAAAATGGATCGACAGGAGTCCAGAGATTTTTAGTTTGTACCTCAATGTTTACTAGCAGTTTCACAGTACTTACCAGTGCGGTGGAGTCAAAACAGATTGTATCCTCCAATCATTTCTCCAGAAAAGCCAAAGTTTCCTAAGCGCTCTCACGACAACAAGCCATCCCCGGCTTTGGGTTTGTGGGGCAAGAATCTGGTAAATAAGAGTTAAAAGGGCTTGTGCACCTTGTCGTGCTTTTAAAATAAAGACTACTTGCTAGTTGATAAATAATTTGTATATAAGAAAGTTAGTAAAGTGATGGACTGACACCACATCTCTAGCTTAACTCTAAATTATTTTGCGGAAGGGATCAAGGGAGTTGCAGCCAAGGGAGGGTTCGAAAATTGCTTCCCCTGAGTTTGGTTGTGATGAATTAGCTAGTATCAGGCCGGTCGACGCGCTGGCTACCCTTCTTGGTCACTTCTCGCCGCGAATGCCCCTCTAGTGCATTGAATCACTTGGGACTTGAACCAACGTCAAGTTTACCTTATATTCTGAAAAAGCTCTTCTGAGCAACCTCTTCACTTCGCCCTCTGCATACAATCACTGTTTGAGTAAAAAAGGTGGGGCAGGATTTCACAAGCTTTAAATAGTTTTCTCTTTTTGCGCTTAATCTTCTTATTGAAGTTTAAAACTTGATGCTGTGTATGTGTGTGTGTAAAAGAGGGGAAGGCAGTAAAACTGGTTTCTTACTGGTTACAAGACCTTTTATGGCGTGAAATGAAGGCTAGGGAAGCTTACTCCAGCCATCACTAAAAAGTTGCGGCACAGCCTGTTTCCTAATGTGCTGGCTCAATCTAAGTCTTATCGCCCGTGACGTCACGCCACTGGTAAGCACGCAGAACCTTGAATGTTGATTTTGGCATCAACTGATTATGCATTTTCTCAATAGCTATGCTGAGTTTAAAGAAACTGAGTAGCGGGCCTGGAAGAGCAAAGCCTGGGTATTTAGAATAAGTTATTAGTCTGGGTAACTCGAAAAATTGGTGGAGCACCCTCTTAAGAATGTATTCACGTAATGTTGTATGCTTTATTTGTTGCTTTTTGGAATTTAATATCTTTGTTAAACAAGCATATGTTGTCATGGGGAGAAAAATGTTTGTTCTGAGGAAGTGGAAATCTACAAGGTTGTAGTGATGCAAATGGATGTCCTTGGTATGCGGCACCTGCCCAAAAATTCTCTGTTAGGCTAGTTGCTTATATGTTTATTCATTATAAACACAAGCGCCAAGAGCAAAAACGAGGGAGAGTGACCACAAGCGCTTCTTTTGTGTACTTCTTTCTCTCTCATCCTCGTCCTTTCGACTTATAATGACAGCTGACCTTCTAGAGCAATAATTAAATGTAGTAGGATGGTAATGAAGATATGCAACAGCACACATTTCACTGTGGGATGTTTTGTGTTTTGGTGTCATGGCCAGAATGCCATCTCATGTAAGGCATGTGGGGATGCAATCTGCGTGTTAATTTTATAAAATCAGTCTAAGGGCTGTAGTTAAAAAGAAAACTGCAATCTCAAGAGGTTTATGAACTTCAGCGCCTCTTAACATAATTTTGTCTTGTTTCTACACTTTTTTTAGGACCCTGCAGAACTTCCAACATATCCAGCTGTGAGCTACGAAGGCAGCAGCATCTATGATGCCACCTCACTTCTTGTGTCTGTTGATGAGCTGCAAATCGCAGAACCAACTCATCTGGCTGCAGTGAGCACAATGACTGCGCTGTATTGGGCGTTGAATATAGAATTTCCTCCAAAGGCGACCAGAACGTTTCAACTCTTCTCCCATATGATAGGAGTTGACACTGGGCTCGTGGCCAGCCCCCTTGTGCTGATGGCAATTGGCATAACCAATGGCTAAGCTGGTGCTCAGTTTATTTCAAGAATACCTTCCACATGCTTTTCCTGGGATATTGAATAAAGCAACAAAATGTGGTACAAAAATGGGACGAGACATCTTTCCAACTGGCAGCAAACACATTTATTGCTGGTCCATCTACGACAACCATCGCAGCGGATACCCAAGGAGATAGGGGAAAGGAGGGGAGGATGAGGAGGAAGGAACATGTTTGACCCACAGCTACCGCGGTAGCCGTGGCGACAGCCTGCTTCAGAAAGATAGGTAATGATAGGCGGGGTGCGGGGGAGGGGGGGAGGGGGGGAGGGAAGGGAATGAAGGAACTAACCTCGAGGTGGGATGAAGGGGGAGGCTTCTCTAAGCTTTCTAAGCAGTAGTTGTGGACAAGCCAGCAAAGATATCTCGTCCCGTTTCTGTCCCATTTTCTTGCTTTCCTCAATATCCCATAACTCGACGAGCACGCTCATTTTATCAAGTTTATGCTTTTATTGTTTTGCCAAATGTGAAATTAGACTTTTTTTTTAAACGTCTGTATGCCATGTGGCAGAAGAAGGGAATGAGGATTCAAGGTATATATGAAGTCCAGTTTCCTGGAAAAGTAATACTCAATTTTTTTCGCCTTAGTTTAAAGGGAAGTGCTGCGCCATGTACTAATTGTTTAAAATGTCGAACACATGTTTATGCAAAAATAAAGCTACGCTTGTCTTGAACCACACAATGTCATTCCCAACACTGCAATATCGAGTCTATCACTAGGGGAACTAAAAGTACTTGTGCTAGGTGGTGATGAACGTTTTGAACCATGGCTAAAAGTGCTAAAAGCATTAACACAAGAGAGAAGCTCCTTTGTTTGTATTCTCTCTTGTGTTCGTCTTTTTAGCGCTTTTAACCACGGTTCGAAACATTAGGGGAACATTTAGTCCCAGGAGACTAAGCATTTGGTCCCTTGGGATCATATGTAAAGGATTAAAATTTAGTCCCCGGGGACCAAATGTCTTGGATTAACATTTACTCCCACGGGTCCCAGTGCAAGGGCTCAACAGTTGGTCCTCGGGGTTCAATTGAAATGGTGCAACAGTTAGTCTCAGGGGTCCAAGTGCAAGGGCCTAACAGTTAGTCCCAGGGGTCCAAGTGCAAGGGCTTAACAGTTGGTCCTCGGGGTTCATTTGAAAGGGTGTAACAGTTAGTCCCAGGGGTCCAAGTGCAAGGGTCTAACAGTTAGTCCCAGGGGTCCAAGTGCAAGGGCCTAACAGTTGGTCCCAGGGGTCCAAGTGCAAGGGCCTAACAGTTGGTCCTGGGGGTGCTGGTGTGAGGGACTAACGGGCGGGGTGCAACAGTTGCTCCCGCTACAGTTGCTCCCCAAGGGGAGCGATGGTTGTGTCAGCGTATTTGCTCCCCTAAGGGAACAAGTCACGCTCCCTTTTTTCTTACAGTGTGTTTTATCACAAGCTTTTCTTTTGCAAGCACCGCTAAGTAAATTGTTGAAAGTTTTGAACGTGTGTCGACCAGAGCATTCAGAACTGTATAATACACTGCCATTATCTTATGTCTCCCACGTTTGCTTCCAAGAGGATCACAGACCTCGAACTCATCAGTGTAAAGTTGAATGCAAATTTTTTTCGCATCTCCTTGAAAATAGTCGTGCTCCTGAAAGGCTGTGCCATCAAAAACATCAACAAAAAACTCTCCTGACATTCCGGAACGCCTGGAGCTACAACGTTTCAGCAGACAACTTGTTGAGTGAATGTTCTAGGACCTTTAAGACGGGAACATAGGTGAATGCCTCTACCTTTCCACCCATGTCTCTGCCAAGACAAACGTTCTCCGGCTGGACGAATGACAAACAACTTTTCCAGTATTTTTCACGTTCCCTTTCATTTACAAGCTTTTGTAGGTCAAGCTCAAGAAACAACTTCTGCTTCTCTTGGTCGTTACCTGAAGCTGGAGGTGCAAGGAATGTTCAGCGAATGACTGTATGTACAAGACAACATCAGAAGAAATCTCTTGAAGTATTGCCCTTGGAAGTCATTTTCTCTCCTTCCACTTGAACAGCAACAAAGCAAACTGCTTGAACAAGCCTTGCCGTTCACCTGAAGGGCTGCATGCATTGTTTTGCACAACGCCTACACCGTCGGCGTTTATAACAAATGGCACATCTGCGTGGCTGTCCGGTTGATCTTCATCACTGCTTAGCATGTTTGAATGGACTCCTGACTTCTCTCTGCGCCGAGCACTGAGTGGACCTCATCAAGTGTTTCCGAATGTTTTCTCGAGACATGCTTACGGTGAGCTCCATAGGATGCATATTTCCTTAAGCACCCCTGAATCCCACACATCCAGTATTGTTCATGCCCATGCTTTGCATGAAAATGTCGAAACAATGACCTTAGTGTGAATTCTCTCTCACTTGTGGCATTGAAAGAACCGTATCCCATGCATCTGGAAAAAAAACATGTGCAACATGCTACACTATCCTTGATGACTAAAACGTATTTGTCGAAGTTAGGTCAATTAAATGCAATCCGCATTTACGGGGTACGCTTAGGGGGTGACAATGACATTCTAACACGCGACGACCGTTGCAGCGGTGATCTACTTTTTTATATTTATAGAAACCTTAATCAAGAAGTAAAGCGCGTTATGAGGGTTGATATACACTTGTTTCACCGAATGCTGCAGCCGAACGTTTTTTTTGTGAAAAATATGTTACACTACAAAAGTGATTTGTATGAAATACATTGTTAATTAGTCACTGAGCAGGAGTCATCCTATTAAGCACATAGTGTGTTTAAAAATAATTATTTTTTGTAAATACTTTTTTTATTAAAAAGAAAGCATCAATTAGAAAGTTAGCCATCATCATCGAAAATCACATAATCAGCTAATTTCCTGTTGATTGCAGGGGATTGCATCATTTTAGGTATTTTTAAGACTAAATATTTCTTCCCGAATTTGCGGGTTTACTGCAGAGGACTCGCAGGGACACCAGAACCGCTGGCACGAGCTTGTCGCTCTAAGCTGACAAGTTGGCTTGTGAGTTCACGCACCGTGAACGTGTGTTTTCATTCCAGAAATTGTGAAACCATGATTTGGAAACAGGTGGATTTGGAGTGCCAATTATCAAAAACATTGTTTCTCACAAACAGGGGACAATTAAGTCATTTTTTTTTTTAGATCGCAAAGTCGGCAAGAATATGGGCGGAGACAGCCGAGTGCTAGTCAAAGAGGTAAAATTCTGCATGGGGTGTTTCCAGAATGCTACGCATAGAACCTCTTGCCGAATTATAAGTAACGTGGCAGTTCATTCCAGCTCCCCTTTAGCAGCCTTACGTACCGCGGGCGCCCGGTATGGCATCATTAGTGTACCAGCTCATATTGCCGGTGGCTGCACAGTAAAGCTTTATGTTGCTAGCGGAATCTCGGTTCGTCACACGAAGCCCGGATTGAGCACTCGCCCGTAACCCATGACGTCGAACGATCTACGAACAAGCCCTACTAGCATGACGAGCTAGTGGCAGCGCGACGGTGAGCACTCTCAAAAAAGGGTGTAGCCATTGCACTCCTTGTCACATATAATACATCCCAAAACTACAGTTCGACGTACAACGCACTGATGTCGAGCTGACGGCCCCAACTTTTACGAGAGGCTTGGTGACGGTGCGTTATAACATAATAAACAGCTGAAGTATTATCAAAAACTACAGAAAAAAGAAAAACACTGAGGTTTTGCAGTAGGGCCAAGGAAACCCGGATTCACATATATATATATATATATATATATATATATATATATATATATATATATATATATATATATATATATATATATATATATATGACTGCCATCCGGTGAACCCTTTTCACACCCAGCCACGTCGCACCCAGCCACGCCGAATCCGGCCCCACGGCAACCAGCGGCCGAACTGACTGCCATCCGGTGAACCCTTTTCATACACCCAGCCACGTCGCACCCAGCCACGCCGAATCCGGCCCCACGGCAACCAGCGGCCGAACTGACTGCCATCCGGTGAACCCTTTTCATACTCTCCGCCCGCTAAACCTAACCTAAACGCTCCTAATCAGCATTTCTTTCGCCTCCGCAGAATAATTGGAAAACGCATTAGTTATGAAAACCATCTCATGTCATTATCACGATACTCCCAGAACGAGAGTTACCCTAGGGGCCTTAAAATATCCGCTCTTCCAAACTTTCCACTTGATCCCGCACGTGCATCGCAATGGAGCGCGTCGCTCTCGAGGACTTCCAATGATTTAGTCAAAATCCTAATCGCCCAATGTAAATCTAATATAACCTCCTTACGCCAAGAGGAGGAGGAACTGTCCAAAACCATGCCACTTTCGGAAAAGCACAAGCATGAATTAGCTAGCTTCATCACCAAAAAGTCCCATTCATTACATGTAAGAGTATCCAAAAAGTTTTCCCGCGACCATATCGATCTAGAATCACCCGATCCAGACACCCTGCAAGAGTCTTGTCAAGCCCGCGGAGAGGAAGGGATAACCGATATCCGACGACGGTCACCCGACACAGAGCCCCCTACCCTAAGCCAGAGCGAACCTGCCGGTATGCTTAATGCATCCGGCATCATTGATAACACCGTGGTAAATTTATCATCAGTTGAGCTCTCTCACTCGGATATAAATCTATTAAGAAAGGGACTTTCCTTCTGCCCAGACAATAGTCATGTAAATGAATATCAAATGCACCTCGACCTACATAATTTTGCTCGAAATCTCCGCCTTCGGGAGCACTTTCATGGAAATGTCTCCTCTCCCCCTATCCATCCCTTCAGACAATCCAGCGACTTTACACCATTCGCCAGCAAAGATCCGAATCTAGACCTATACGTAAGGGGAATTCAAAAAGATGTTTTAATGCATTGTAGACGCAAAGACTCGAATGGTAAAAAAAGTAACCTAAAACCCGACGAGAAAAAAAGTCTGGACAACCTTCAACAAAGGAACGACATTGTGATCAAGCC